ATCATAGCTTTAAAAAACAGTAAAAATAGACTTTTTTCTACATATCTTTAGCAATGTTGCTTATGTTTTCTAAAATGAAGCTTTTAAGAATTTTTAAAAAAATATTCTTGATGTGCGAGTCCTTTTGCAATGATGTCAGTTGATAAATACTGAAAACTCTAAAACTTGTGACTGAAATTCTAGCATATTTGATGACTAGTTTGGATCATTGTTACAAGAGAGAAGACTTGAATATCAGCATCCAGGTGTTCTTTTCTGATAATTTTTCAGTATTTTCTATTTTTCCTTCAAATCTAGATTCCAAATTACAGAAATGCAGTCATTGTAGCTAAGTCTCCTGATGCTGCAAAGAGGTAAGTAATCAGACGTGGGTCCTGATCCCTCCTGAGTGCTCCCAAAGTCAGAATGAGCTGCTTTGGTATCCCGAGGCTGTCACTTGTGGCCTTTAACAGCCTACTGGCTCTCCTATTACCCCTCCATTATTGTCATGTCCCACGCCACACACAGTTTTGTCTCCAGCCTACAGACAGCACGCATGATCACTGAGTTACCCAGCTTTCCTCTGGGAAAACGAAGCTCCTTCAAGTTCTCAGAGAAGGGAAAGCAGTGAGGCTATGAGCATTTTCAGCCAGTGGTTTTTAATGTTGTTCTTCCTTCTGAAGATGACTATTAGGATATTAGACAAAGGACAGAATCAAAATTATCTAGAATCAGAGCCGGGCATGGTGGCTTATGCCTGTAATTCCAGCACTTTGGGAGGCCAAAGCGGGAGATCTCTTGAGCCCAAGAGTTCAAGACTGGCCTGGGCAACATAGAACCCATCTCTACAAAAACACAAAAATTAACCAGTTGTGGTGACATATGCCTGTGGTCCCAGCTACCCAGGAGGCTGAGGTGGAAGGATCACCTGAGCCTCAGGAGGTTGAGGCTGCAGTGAGCCATGTTAATGCCACTGCACTCCAGCCTGGATAACAATGAGACCTTGTCTCAAAAAAAAAAAAAATAGAATTAGATACAATCCCAGACCCTAACTCACTTGCCCCTTGAGGCATTTACATTCTGGCCTGGGCCTCACATTCTCATTTATAAAAATAATGCCTTTGTATGTCCCTAAAACATTAATTATTTTCATTTTATGGTTAAAAAGTGATGCAGTAGTGTTGCATGGGTTTTCTTCCCATTAGTTTCACCATTTTCCTTTGTCCTTCTAGGGCCCAGTCCTATGCTGAGAGACTGCGTCTGGGTTTGGCCGTCATCCACGGGGAAGCTCAGTGCACGGAACTGGATATGGACGATGGTCGTCACTCCCCGCCTATGGTCAAAAACGCTACTGTGCACCCAGGCTTGGAGTTGCCATGTAAGATGAGCTCTGCGTTTTTATTTTATTTTTAAATTGGAGAAAGTTTTTATTTTTTTGATACAGAGTCTTGCTTTGTCACCCATTGTGCAGTGGTGCAATCTTGGGTCACTGCAACCTCCACCTCCTGAGTTCAAGCAGTTCTCCTGCCTCAGCCTCTGGAGTAGCTAGGATTACAGGTGTGCACCACCATGCCCGGCTAATGTTTATATTTTTAGTAGAGATGGGGTTTCACTATGTTGGCCATGCTGGTCTCAAACTCTTGACCTCCCAAAGTGCTGGGATTACAGGCATGAGCCACGGTGCCCAGCCCCAAAGAAAGTTTTAAATAGTGTGAATGGCTAGGAGTTATTGACTACGTAGATTATGCTGTCTTGATTTTTTTTTTTTTTTTGAGAAGGGGTTTCCCTCTTGTTGCCCAGGCTGGAGTACAATGGCATGATCTCAGCTTACTGCAACCTCCACCTCCTGGATTCAAGCGATTCTCCTGCCTCAGCCTCCTGAGTAGCTGGGATTACAGGCACGTGCTGCCATGCCCAGCTAATTCTTGCATTTTTAGTAGAGACAGGTTTCACCATGTTGATCAGGCTGGTCTCAAACTCCTGATCTCGTCGTGATCTTCCTGCCTCGGCCTCCCAAAGTTCTGGGATTACAGGCGTGAGCCACCGCCCCCAGCCTATCTTGATGCTTTTAAATAACAGAATGGTATTACATTTGCTATCCCCCGCCTTTTTTTTTAAGACTGGATCTCACTCTTTTGCTCAGCTTGGAATGCAGTGGCACAGTCGTGGCTCACTGCAGCCTTGACCTCCTGGGCTCAAGTGATTCTCCCACCTCCACCTCCTGAGTAGCTGGGACTATGGGGGTATACTACCATGCCTGGATAGCTTTCCTTTTTTTTTTTTTTGGTAGAGATGGGGTCTCCCTAGATTGCCTAGGCTGGTTTTGAACTTCTGTGCTCAAACAATCCTCCTGCCTTGGCCTCCCAAAATGTCAAGATTATATAAGATTACAGGCATGAGCCACCATGTCAGGCCTGATTTCCTCTTTTGTAAAACGAAGTTGTGTTATATACACATTGGCAGACTGTGTATGGACAGATCTGCGTAGCACTCAGCATTCAGAGAGTGTTCAGTAATTTTAGCTTTAAAGTTGTGTGTGTGATGGTATCAAATCTTAAGCTGTTACATTGAGGTAAGCTGGGTGACAGCTGTTGATCAAATACCAGGCTTTGGCAATCAGGCAACTTTTATTTTTATATTTATTTATTTATTTATTATTACTTTCTGAGATGGAGTCTTACTTTATCACCCAGGCTGGAGTGCAGTGGCGAACCTCTGCCTCCCGGGTTAAAGCAATTCTCCTGCCTCAGCCTCCCGAGCAGCTGGGACTACAGGCGCCTGCCACTGTGCCCAGCTAATTTTTGTGTTTTTAGTAGAGACAGGGTTTCACCATTTTGGCCAGGCTGGTGTCGAACTTCTGACTTTGTGATCCGCCTGCCTCGGCCTCCCAAAGTGCTGGGACTACAGAAATGAGCTACCACACCCAGCTATTTTTATTTTTATTTATTCAAGATGGAATCTCGTTCTGTCTCCAGGCTGGAGTCTCGCTCTGTCACCAGGCTGGAGTACAGTGGCGTGATCTTGGCTCACAGCAACCTCCGCCTCCCAGGTTCAAGCAATTCTCCTGCTTAAGTCTCCCCAGTAGCTGGGACTATAGGCACGCACCACCATACCTGGCTAATTTTTGTATTTTTAGTAGAGACACAGTTTTACCATGTTGGCCAGGGTGGTCTCGATCTCTTGACCGTGTGATCCACCCACCTCGGCCTCTCAAAGTGCTGGTACCGTGCCCTGCCAATTTTTTTTTGTTTTTTGTTTGAGACTCAGTCTCGCTCTGTCGCCCAGTCTGGAGTGTAGTGGCATGATCTCGGCTCACTGCAACTTCTGCCTCCTGGGTTCATGGAATTCTTCTGTCTCAGCCTCCCAAGTAGCTGTGACTACAGGCACATGCCACCATGCCGGGCTAATTTTTGTATTTTTAGTACAGATAGGGTTTCACCATTTTGGTCAGGCTGGTCTTGAACTCCAGACTTCAACCATCCACCTGCCTTGGCCTCCCAATGTGCTGGGATTACAGGTGTGAGCCTCCGTGCCTGGCCATAATCTGCTTTTTTAGCTTTTTATTTTGAACTGACTTCAGACTTAAAGTTGAAAGAATAGTACAGATTTCCAGCATATGCTCTTCACTCAGAGTCTCCAAATTTAACATTTATATACATGGGTTTTTTGCACCATTTGAGGGTGAATTGCAGACATATGTCCCTTCATTCCTAAATACCCTTTATTCCTGGGCACAGGCATGAGCCACCGTGCCCAGCGGACCACATTTTAAAATGTATTTGTAAAGACAAAAGAGTCTCTTATACAACCAGAGTTTCATTATCAGACTCAGGAAGCTAACATTGCTATAACACTGTAATCTATAGACCTTACTCAGGTTTCACCAGTGATCCCAGCAGTGTCCTTTAGAGCAAAAGAAGAAACTTGTTTTCTTGTCCAAGACCTAACCCAGGGTCACATATGGCATTTAGTTGTCATTTCTTTTTAGTTTCATTTAATCTGGAATGGCTCCTCTATTCTTTGTTTCTTATGACCTTGATACTTTTGAACAGTACAATCAAGTGATTTTGTAGATTATTCCTTAATTGGGGCTTGTTTGTGTCCTCAGGATTAGATTCATGTTAGGCATTTTTGGCAGAAATATCACAGTAAACATGTGATGTGTCCCATTATTGCTGATATCCATTCTGATAAGTTGGTTAAGGTTTGTCTGGCAGGAAGTTACTCTTTTTTTTCCTCTTTGTAATGAACACTACTTCATGTTAAGACTATGTTTTAACTGTAAATATCCTGTTTCTCATAAAATTAACATCTGATGATTCTTGCATGAATCAGTTATTTACTGTACTTGTGGTAAGTATTCATTTTTCTAATTCCATCATTCCTTCTACATTTATTGGTTGACATTCTAATTTAAGAAAGCTTTCTCTTCTTTGCTATTCATTCCTTCATTTATATCAATATGGTTTCATAGAACTGTTTTATTCGGTGGGTTATAATTCATTGCTGTCACTGGCATACTTTAAATACTGCAGGTTCAGTTATATACCATTGCAATAAGGTGAATATCGTAATAAAGTGAGTCTCATGAATTTTTTATTGCACCCAGCTGTGGCAATTTCTTAAAACAATGAAGTTTGCCTCACCGATTGATTCTTTGTTTCACAAAAGACTTTTCTGTAGCATGTAATATTGTTTGACAACATTTTTTTTCTTTTTTGGGATGGAGTTTTCACTCCTGTTGCCCAGGCTGGAGAGCAGTGGTGCAATCTCAGCTCACTGCAACCTCCGCCTCCCAGGTTCAAGCAGTTCTCCTGCCTCAGCCTCCCAAGTAGCTGAGATTACAGGCATGTGCCACCATACCTGGCTAATTTTTTTGTGTTTAGTAGAGACAGGGTTTCACCATGTTGATCAGGCTGGTCTTGAACTCCTGACTTCAGATGATCCACCTGCCTCAGTCTACCAAAGTGCTGGGATTACAGGCATGAGCCACCATGCCCAGCGGACAACATTTTAAAAAATGTCAGACAGGTAATGTGCTGATGTTCTAAGGTTCAAGGATGGCACGTCTCACATATGAGCGTGAAAACCCAATGATCACACTTATGAATTACAAAAGGATCTGTTTGATAGCATTTCACCCAGAAGAAAGAACTGCTTTCAAAATTGTAGTCACTTCTCTCACACCCTGGCACTGTGTTATCAAATAATTTTTGTATCATTTCTAAATCCTTCTTGTCATTTCAACAGTATTCACAGCATCTTCACCAGCAGTAAATTCATCTTAAAAAAAAAGAAAAACTATTCTCTTTGCTTATCCATAAGAAGCAATTTCTTATCCATTACATTTTATCATAAGATTGAACCAGTCCAGTCACAGCTTCAGGCTCCACTTCTAATTCTAGTTCTTTTGCTCTTTCCACCACATCTGCAGTTACTTCTACCGTGGAATTCCTGAACTTCTCAAAAGTCATCCACGAGGGTTAGAATCAACTTCTTCCAAACTTCTGTTCATGTTGATATTTTGGCCTCCTCCCATGAATCACGAATGTTCTTCATGGTATCCAGAATAGTGCATTCTTTCCAGAGATTTTAAATTTACTTTGGGTCCTTTGGAGAACTCACTATATATGGCATCTATAGTCTTATAAAATGTATTTCTTTTCTTTTCTCTTATTTTCTTTCTTTCTCCTTCCTTTTCTTTCTTTCTTTCTTTCTTGACGGAGTCTTGCTCTGTCACCCAGGCTGGAGTGCAATGGCATGATCTCAGCTCACTGCAACTTCTGCCTCTTTGGTTCAAGCAGTTCTCCTGTCTGAGCCTCCCAAGCAGCTAGAATTACAGGTGCTAATTTTTGTATATTTAGTAGAGACAGGGTTTCACCATATTGGCCAGGCTGGTCTCAAACGCCTGACCTCAGGTGCTCTACTGGCCTCAGCCTCCCAAAGTTTTGGGATTACAGGCATGAACCACCGCACCTGGCCAAATGTATTTCTTTTTATTTTATTTTAGAGGCAGGGTCTCTGTCTGCTCTCCAGGCTGGAGTACAGTGACAGGGTCTTCCTCTCTTGCCTAGACCTGGAGTGCAGTGCTATGATCACTGATCACTGCAGCCTCTACCTCCTTGGCTCAGGTGATCCTCCCACCTTAGCCTCCCAGGTAGCTGGGGAGCTGGGACCACAGGTGTATGCCACCATGCCTGACTAATTTTTGTATTTTTTGTAGAGATGGTGTTTGCCATGTTCCCCAGACTGGTCTTGAACTCCTGGGCTTAAACAGTCAACCCACCTTAGCTTCCCAAAGTGCTGGGATCACAGGTATGAGCCACTGTGCCCAGCACCCAGCTACTTTTTAGAAATTTTTAATAGAGACAGGGTCTTGTCATGTTGTCCAGGCTGGTATCGAACTCATTGGTACAAGCAGTCCTCCCACCTCAGCCTTTATTCTTGACAGTTTGGGAGGATAAAGTGGGAGGATCACCTGATTATTATTAATAATAGGACTTGAAAGTTGAAATTACTCCTTGATCAGTGGGCTGCAGAATGGATGTTGTATTAGCAGGCCTGAAAACAACACTCATCTCCTTGTGTATCTTCATCAGAGCTGTTGAAAGACTGTTGTTTGAGATTTTATATGTACACACACACACACACACACACACACACACACACATTTTTTTAAAGACAGTCTTCCTCTGTTGCCCAAGCTGGAGTGCAATGGTGTGATCTTGGCTCACCGCAACCTTTGCCTCCCGGGTTCAATTGATTCTCTTGCCTCAGCCTCCCAAATAGCGGGGATTACAGGTGTGCACCACCACACCTGGCTAATTTTGTATTTTTAGTAGAGACAGAGTTTTTTGTATTTTTAGTAGAGACAGGCTGGTCTCTACTAAACTCCTGACCTCAAGTGATCCACCTGCCTCAGCCTCCCAAAGTGCTGGGATTACAGGTGTGAGCCACTGCGCCAGGCCTGTGGTTTGATACTGTTTGAACTTTTATCAGTTGTCTTGGTTAGATCTTCTGAGTAAGTCGCTCCAGCTTCTCTGTGAGCACTTACTGCTTCACCTTGCACTCTGAGGTTACAGAAATGCCTTCTTTCCTTACACCTCGTGAACCAGCCGTGCTCTGGATTCGGCTGTGGCTTAAGGGAATGTTGTGGCTGGTTTGATCTTCTACCCGACCACTCAACCTTCTCCATGTCAGTAATAAGGCTGTTTTGTTTTCTCATCATTTGTATGTTCCCTGGAGTCACATTTTTAACGTTCTTTATGAACTTTTCCTTTGTGTTAACAACCTGGCTGACTAAAGAGGTATAGCGTTTGGCTTTTGACACACTAAGCTTAATTATTTCTAGCTTTTGATTTAAAGGGAGAGACATGAAGCTCCTCCTTTTACTTGAACACTTAGAGGCCACTGTAGGGTTATTGGCTTAATTTCAATATACTGTGTCTCTGGGAATAGGGCAGTGCAACAAGAGGAAGAGAGACGGGAGCAGCCGGTCAGTGGAGCAGCCAGAATACACATTTACTAAGTTTGCTGTCTGATATGAGCATGGTTTGTGCCGCCCCAAAACAATTGCATAGTAACATCAAAGATCACTGATTACAGATCACCAGAAAAGACATAATGATAATGAAAAAAGCTGAAATGTTGCAAGAATTACCAAAATGTGACCCAGAAACACAAAATGAGCACACGCTGTTAGAAAAATGGCACTCAGTCTGGGCACGGTGGCTCATGCCTATAGTCCCAACCCTTTGGTAGGCCAAAGTGGCAGGATCATTTGAGCTCAGGAGTTTGAGACCAGCCTGGGCAACATGGTGAAACCCCCTCTCTACAAAAAATTAGCCAGGTGTGGCATGCACCTGTGGTCCCAGCTATTTGGGAGGCTGAGGTGAGAGGTTGCCTTGAGCCGAGGAGGCAGACATTGCAGTGAACCGAGACTGCACCACTGCACTCCAGCCTGGGTGACAGATTGAGACCCTGTCTCAAAGGAAAAAAAAAAAAAGAAAAGAAAAATGGCTCCCATTGACACAGGGTTGCCACAAAGCTTCTGTTTGTAGAAATTGTATTATCTGGTAATCCCAGCATTTTGGGAGGCCAAGGTGGGCGCATCTTCTGAGGTCAAAAATTCGAGACCAGCCTGGCCAACATGGTGAAACCTCATCTTTCCTAGGAAAAAAACAAAACAAAAATAGCTGGGTGTGGTGGTGTGTGCCGGTAGTCCCAGCTGCTTAGGAGTCTGAGTCAGGAGAATCACTTGAACCCAGGAGGCGGAGGTTGGAGTGAGCTGAGATCACACTACTGCACTCCAGCCTGGGTGACAGCCGGAGATTCCATCTCAAAAAAAAAAAGGCATTATCTGCAGAGCACCATAAATAAAAGTGCAATAAAATGAAGTATGCCCTTCTGCTTTTCTCTCTCTCTTTTTTTTTTTTTCTTTCTTTCTCTCTCTCTCTCTTTTCTTTTTTTGACAGAGTCTTACTCTGTCACAAAGGCTGGAGTGCAATGGTGCTATCGTGGCTTACTGCAGCCTCCACCTTCCAGGTTCAAGTGATTCTCATGCCTCAGTCTCTTGAGTTTCTGGGATTATAGACATGCACCACCCTGTCTGGCTAATTTTTGTTTTTTTAGTAGAGATGGGGTTTTACCTTGTTGGCCAGGCTGGTCTCCAACTCCTGACCTCAGGGGATCTGCCTGCCTCGGCCTCCCAAAGTGCTGGGATTATAAATGTGAGCCACCACACCCAGCCGACATTTATTTTACTGTTCAGTTTGTTACAGATTTGGCCAGAGAGAGCTCCTTCCAGCTGCCTCCTGTGTTCTTTTGGCATGTCCCCATCACTTTTTGAGGCTCCCTTACTTTCTGCTGTAACCATATCCCATGTTCATCTTGTACTTTCTTAGCACTGCAGTTGGCTGTTTATCCAAGGAGGCTTTATGCCTTTAGCAGAAAATGGTATTTATTTATTCAAAAAAATCAGGCCGGGCGCGGTTGCTCATGCCTGTAATCCCAGCACTAGGAATCTGAGGTGGTCGGATCATGAGGTCAGGAGTTTGAGACCAGCTGGGCCAACATGTTGAAACCCCATCTCTACTAAAAATACAAAAATTAGTTGGGCACATTGGTGCATTACTGTAATCCCAGCTACTTGAGAAGCTGAGGCCGGAGAATTGCTTGAAGCCAGGAGGTGGGGCTTGCAGCAAGCCAAGATCATACCACTGCACTCCAGTGGTATGGGTGACAGAACAAGACTCCATCTTGGGGGGAAAAAAAATCAGTCAGATTTAGCAGTGCTGGATTGTATGGCAACTTTTTAGTGACATTAATATTAGTAAGTATTGATAACCAACTAGCATCAGACCAGCTGAGAAATGGTATTTAGAAACCAAGATTCGGGCTCCAGAGTGGACATGCTCAGTTACCCCACTTTACTACTTGTGAGTAACCTTGACTTAATATCCTTTCATAAGCGGCTGAATATACTGTGGGATAAAGACCAAGAAATAAAATTACTGGGTCAGAGGTTATTTTGATAAATGTATTATCAGAGTATTTTATATTGTGAGATTATTTATTCTGAGGATGTTGCTTTGTTGCTTAACGATCATAACTGTGGTTTCCGGGGCAGCTATCTTTTCGCGTCATAGGAAGAGAATGCATTCCTTCTTAAACATGCTGTGTGTTTACATTGCAGCTTCTGTAGTTGTCATCAGATTGTTTTCTGTGACTCTCTTTGGTAGGCTTAGCCAAGAAGATTCTAAAATTATTTCTTGTATGTGTAATGAATTGTGCCTCCCAAATTAAATGTGCTTTACATTTATATGCCAGTTACACGGTGTGTTCCAGCAGTTCATTTGTTGGTAATGAAGGTTAAGATCTTAGAATGGTTATGACAAAAGAGATATTCAACCTTGGAATCTTTGCATTTTTTTAGGAAGATGAGCTATTTTATTTTCCTGAAACCCATTCTTTTTTTTTTTTTTTTTTTTTTTTTTTTTTTTTTGAGACGGAGTTTTGCTCTTGTTACCCAGGCTGGAGTGCAATGGCGCGATTTCAGCTCACCTCCACCTGCTGGGTTCAGGCAATTCTCCTGCCTCAGCCTCCTGAGTAGCTGGGATTACAGGCACGTGCCACCATGCCCAGCTAATTTTTTGTATTTTTTTTAATAGAGACGGGATTTCACCATGTTGACCAGGATGGTCTTGGTCTCTTGACCTCGCGATCCACCCGCCTCAGCTTCCCAAAGTGCTGGGATTACAGGCATGAGCCACCACGCCAGAGCACTGTTTCTCGCCGTCGGATGAGTTTTGCCTCACAGTGGATATTTGATAATGTCTGGAGATGTTTTTGGTTGTCACAGCCAGGGGAACTGGGGTGCTACTGGCATCTTGCAGGTAAAGGCCAGGATCCTGCTCAGCATCCTGCAGTGCTATAATTACTGTAAAATAATTACACTCATTTTAGAGTAATTTGTTAAAAGAGAAGTTGTATGAATGAAGGAGTGAAACCATAAAGCTTTTCCATTTTATAGGTAGACTTGATGCAGATGATGGGCACGGACATCTAATGGACTTGAAAAGATTGTGTGCCTGGGGTTCTGCTAAAGACTACATTTGCCACAGGGGTGAAAAGTAAGAGTTTGGATTGCAAAAGTGAGAGGAGGTCACTTTCTGGCTCACTTTTCCTGGCTTGTTAACTTGCCAAGTGAGGATGTGGTTTTCACCACTGAAGTGAAAACAGACATTGGCACCTCTGGAGCAACTGTTAAATGTAAATTTTGATTTGTTTGCATGTAGATAGGGGTTATGAGTTTGCAGTCAGTTCATTTCTTTTCTACTGAAGACCTCGTTTTATTTACTCATCTAATTTATTTATTTATTTTTCTGAGACAGGGTCTCATTCTGTTGCCCAGGCTGGAGTACAGCAGGCGATTTCAGCTCACTGTAACCTCTGCTTCCTAGGTTCAAGCAGTTCTCCTGCCTCAGCCTTCCAAGTAGCTGGGATTACAGGCATGAGCCACCACACTCGGCTAATTTTTGTATTTGTTTGGATTTGGCTTTTTTTTGTTTGTTTGTGACAGAGTTTTGCTCTTATTGACCAGGCTGGACTGCAATGGCATGATTTCAGCTCACCACAACTTCTACCTTCCGGTTCAAGTGATTCTCCTGCTTCAGCCTCCCAAGTAGCTGGGATTGATTATAGGCATGCACCACCATGCCTGACTAATTTCGTATTTTTAGTAGAGATGGAGTTTCTCCATGTTGGTCAGGCTGGTCTTGAACTCCTGACCTCAAGTGATCCTCCTGCCTCGGCCTCCCAAAGTGCTGGGATTATAGGTGTGAGCCACTGTGCCTGGCCAGTTTTGTTTTTGTTTGTTTGTTTGTTTTTTTGAGATGGAATCTCACTCTGTGGCCCAGGTTAGAGGACAGTGGCATGATCTTGGCTCACTGCAACCTCTGCCTGCCAGGTTCAAGTGATTCTTCTGTCTCAGCCTCCCGAATAGCTGGGATTACAGGCATGCACCACCATGCCTGGCTAATTTTTGTATTTTCAGTAGAGATGGGGTTTCATCATGTTGGTCAGGCTGGTCTTCAACTCCTGACCTCAGGTGATCTGCTCACCTCAGCCTCCCAAAGTGGTGGGATCATAGGCATGAGTCACTGCACCTAGCCACTCATCTCTTTTTAATGTCAGTTTGTTGATACAGTTTGACATTTCGCTGAACTAGAAATAGATATAAAAAGGTGAAAATGGGTAAGGAGTTAAGATTGCTCATAGTTCTTTTTTGCTGTTTACCTTAGCAGAGGAAAGTTTGGTTAATTGACTCCCAGGAAAGAGTCAAGGTGTGCACATGTATGCAGGTGCTTGTGCTTGTGATGAAAGCATGCTTAAGGTAAGGAGGGTTGTAAATGCAGCCTTATTTTACTTGGAAAATGCTACCTGTAAAAGCAAAAGACAAGGCCGGGCACTGTGGCTCACGCCTGTAATCCTTGCGCTTCGGGAGGCCAAGGTGGGAGGATCACCTGAGGTCGGGAGTTCAAGACCAGCCTGGCCATCATGGTGAAACCCCATCTTTAAAAAAGAAAAAAAAGAAAAGAAAAGCAAAAGACAACTTCCTACTTCCTTCATAAGAACATTGGAAATCATTTGATGAATTGAAGACTTTTTACTGCAGTTGGTATAGTTTTCACAGTGATTTCTGGCCATAAATAATGTTGCACAATTCATTTTATTCATGGATTGGATTTTGTTTGACAAGATGGAAAGAGAGCAGAATCTAAACTTAGGGTAGTTTTAGCACTCTTTATTCTTGATCTTATGTGAAAAGTGGAATTTTTGGTGTTTTATTTTTTGGGTAAGCTATTCAAAATCTGTTGGCCTATGAGGTGCTAGTCATTTTTCTCTACTCTGTAATAATAAAGTCTGTCTCTGTTTTGTGGCAGCCACCAAATTATGTGTTCACTTTTATCCAGAACCTAAAGCCAATATCAACAGGGAATGAGTATGTTGGGAGAAAGCCTTTCTTTTCAGCCTCCCTCCTGGCAGCGCCTATGTTTTTCATGTGAAACTAACAATAGTTCTTTGTGGAAGGTAGGGTTTCAAAAAAGTAAACACAAATACTATGACGTTTTCTGCATCAAACTAGAGCTGAATGGCCGTTGATATTTGATGAAGGATATTGGTTTACAATCTTTCTCTTTTTTTACAGAGGTAAATGGTCAAGAAAAGGGACCACATCTCTTTCTCTCTCTTTTTTTTTTTTTTTCTGAGACAGAGTCTCGCTCTGTTGACCAGGCTGGAGTGCAGAGGTGTGGTCTCAGCTCACTGCAACCTCTGCCTCCTGGGTTCAAGCAAGTCTTGTCTCAGTCTCCTAAGTAGCTAGGATTACAGGTGTGTACCACCATGCCCGGCTAATTTTTATATTTTTAGTAAAGACAGAGTTTTACCCTATTGGCCAGGCTAGTTTCCAACTTCTGACCTCAGGTGATCCACCCACCTCAACCTCTCAAAGTACTGAGATTACAAGTGTGAGCCACCACGCCTGGCCGAAAAGGGACCACATCTCTTTAAGAAATGGGTAGGTTAGCAGGGCACAGTGGTTCATGCCTATAATCCCAGCACTTTGGGAGGTCAAGACAGGTGAATCACTTGAAGTCAGAAGTTTGAGACTAGCCTGGTCAACATGGTGAAACCCTGTCTCAAAACTACAAAAAATTTACCAGACATGGTGGCATGTGCCTGTAATCCCAGCTACTTGGGAGGCTGAGGCAGGAGAATTGCTTGAACCTGGGAGGGGAGGTTGCAGTGACCCAAGATCATGCCACTGCACTCCAGCCTGGGAGACAGAGTGAGACTCTGTCTCAGGGGGTTAAAAAAAAAAAAAGCGTGTAGGTCAACATTAACTACCTATCTACATGGTTTAATATAAAAGCAATCTGAGGAAGCTGCTCCTAACGTTGGTAACCCCTCCCCCCTTTTTAAGATTTTTATATGCAAAGCCTTCTTGACTTGCCCAAATTCAAGAAATTGTGTTTCTAGGATGGCAAATAAGGAAATACATATCTGTTGAAAATTTATAAAGTAGTGCTAAGTTTCAGCTCAGCTAATTTGCCAGTATATAGAGAAAAACACCTATTCTTCGAGATACACAGTGTTTATAGGTGGGAATCGGCCAAAGTTGTGTGTTGGTTAGTCACTAAACTCTTATTACCCTGAATTTTATTCTCTTTCACTTCCCCCACTGCTAGTCTAATAAACATTTCAGAATAATACAAAACTTTAAAGAAAGAATACTTAACCTATTCTTCTGAAACAGTCTTTGTTTTTCTTCTCTGATTACTAACCTCCTTTTGAGGATAAAATCTTACTTCCTTTCTTTATCCTGTAGCTTCCTTTGTACACTCATAGGCTTTCTTCAGATGCAGATTTTATAGTCAGATAAGTCTCTACTTTAAGCACCAGTTAAATCAGGAAAAGATGATGGGTCTGTAGTTATTGTGTTCAAGTTCCTGATTTTGAGGAAACTGATTATGTCAATAGTGCAGTTATCAGATAGTAAGACACTGTCCAAATAAGGTGACTTTGGAAGAAAATAACATAAAGCCATCTCTTGATCTGGCAACCTTTTGCTATTGTGCTTTCTGCAGAGCGGCGTTCCTTCTGCATGTCTCTGTCAGTCTCCGTGAGAGTGGGCTTTCTACCAGCATGGCATTGCAGGGCGGCTTCTCCGTGTTGGCAGAATCTTCCATGCTTTGCTGGTTCATTGTCTTTCCAGCTGTGCTGGAAAAGAACCAGCATGTGCTGGCTGCTGAGCTGATGAGACACGGCTCGTCTCAACTGAGAAGTGCTGTGTGTATAAAACACACACCAGCCGGGCGCGGTGGCTCAAGCCGGTAATCCCAGCACTTTGGGAGGCTGAGGTGGGTGGATCACGAGGTCAAGAGATCAAGACCATCCTGGTCAACATGGTGAAACCCCGTCTCTACTAAAAATACAAAAAATTAGCTGGGCATGGTGGCACGTGCCTATAATCCCAGCTACCCAGGAGGCAGAGGTTGCGGTGAGCACCATTGCACTCCAGCCTGGGTAACAAGAGCGAAACTCCGTCTCAAAAAAAAAAAAAAACACACACACACACCAAGTAGAGAAGACTTGATATGAAAAAAGTGTAAGGCCGGGTGCGCTGGCTCATGCCTGTAATCCTAGCGCTTTGGGAGGCTGAGGTAGGAGGCTTGCTTGAGTCCAGTTCAAGACCAGCCTGGGCAACATAGTAAGATCCCATCTCAAAAAAAAAAAAAAAAAAACAGAAGTGTAAAACATCTCATTAATAAATTTTTATATCAATTACATGTTGAAATTATAATGTTTTGGGCATATTGCCTAAAATAAAATCTATTAATTTCGTCTGTTTTTACTTTTTAATATGGCTACTGGAAAATTTAAAGTGACATGTATGGCATGCCTTCCATTTCTTTTGGCCACTGCTGCTGTTTCTGAGAGATTCAGGTTCATTGAGGGGGAATCTGCATGGTTTGTTTTTTGTCTGTATAGTGGTTTTGCCACCATTTCCAGAAAATTAGGTTGTGATTACATTTCTCTAGTAATACATGAATGACTGAGATCTTGTCATTTGTTTTGTTTTGCTAGTGATGATGGCCAAAGAGAAGCCGCCAATAACTGTGGTTGGAGATGTTGGAGGCCGCATCGCAATCATCGTGGTATGGTTATGTGTCATCCCTCATGTGTAGAGGTGACACTGCTGGCTCTTGGTCAGTAGGTTGTCTGCTTGGGGACTGTATTTCTAGGAGCAATGATGTAAATGGATCCATGTGTCCTTTCTCACCCAAACTCTCTTGTGCCAAGTGGCAGAAACCTTTATTCAGATGAACACACATTAAAATGTAACTTGCAGACAGGAATTGAGCACAGCACCTCCCAAGAAAAAATTCAGCACCTTAACCTACATCGTGTGGGTTCTAGGTTTTTCACAGCAGCTCACGTCATGCTTCGGGCTAAAGGATGAACTGAAGATGAGCTGCTTCGTTTTCACGACTAAGAATGGGTGACCTTGTGCAGACTTGTTCTGCACGTTGACACACATTTCATCCCAGCTCTGAACGTCTGCTGGCTAGTGGGCCACGAATCGTTTGCAGTAGCATGCTTTATTTCAGTTTTCTTCTCCTGTCGCATTTATTTGAAAAAAATAGTTGGAACGCTGGCTATGTGGGATTAACCAGAAATGTGAAACAGGAAAATGAGTGTTGGCAGTCCTCGGCTCCAGCGGTAGCATCACAAGTGCTCAACTGCTCCCTCTCTGAGACACACAAGGTGCCGTCAGGTACTTCTATTGCCATTTCTGATGCTCAGTCTTTGACCCAGGCCCACAGCTCTGATTTGCCTTCAGAAATCCTCTGAAACAGTGCAGAAAAGAGTAGAGAGGTGTATGCTTTTACAGTCTGGGCTAGAGGGTGTTTCTTTCCTACCAAGTCACTCTGTTCTCCTCCCAGGATGACATTATTGATGATGTGGAGAGTTTTGTTGCTGCTGCAGAGATCCTCAAAGAAAGAGGCGCCTATAAGATCTATGTCATGGCCACCCACGGCATCCTTTCTGCAGAGGCCCCCCGCCTGATTGAGGAGTCCTCCGTAGATGAGGTTGGGCTGCTTCTAAATCTTGAGCCAAGATTTGCTGCTGTGTTTTCTGGGAATAATGAAATGATTCAGTCAATATTAAATTGCTTAATTTCTCTATAGTTTTTCTAGCTTTCGCTGGCTAGCGGTTTGTTGGGACAGATATATGTTTAGGAACACAGATAGTCGCAGCTTACCATGGTTCAACTTAGAAAACTTTTTGACTTTATGATGAGGCAAAACTGTTGCAATTACAATGCACTGTATAGTATTTGATAAATTACTTGAGACATTCAACACTTTATTTTAAAATAATAGCTTTTATTAAAAAAATAGCTTTTATTATAAAACAAAAGCCTTTTTCCCTGGATAATTTTCCCAGCTACAGTCTAATATAACCGTACTGAGCATATTTAAGGTAGGCTAGGCCAAGTTATGATGTTCAGTAGGTTAGGTGTATTCAATTAATTTTTTTTTTAGATGGAATCTTGCTCTGTCGCCCAGGCTGAAGTGCAGTGGTGCAATCTTGGCTCACTGCAACCTCTGCCTCCTGGATTCAAGCGATTCTCCTGCCTCAGCCTCCTGAGTAACTGGGATTATATGCACTTGTCATCACACCTGGCTAATTTTTGTATTTTTAGTGGAGATGGGGTTTCACCATGTCGGCCAGGCTGGTCTCTAACTCCTGACCTCAAGTGATCCACCCACCTCAGCCTCCCAAAATGCTGGGATTACAAGCATGAGCCACCTTGTCCAGCCTAAATGCATTTTCTACTTAAAATATTTTCAACTTATAATGATGTGTTTATCCAGACCTAACCCCATCATAAGTTGGGGGTTGAAGGTCTGTATATGTCTATTTGCATAAAGATTTGCTTGGGTACTTTAATTTGACACTCTAGGAACATTTCTCTTGAGACTGGAATTCTTCCCTTATGATCCGAGAGTTTTGCGCAGCGCTGGGGCTCACTGTATTTTTGCGTGGAGACCACACCACAGATTTTCATCTGTGCTCTGCAGCCATATAACTTTTCCTTTGCAGAAAATTTGTTAAGTTTGGTTTATAAAAACTATACTCAGTGGAACACGGCTTTATAGTTTGGAACTTAGGCTGTGGGGACCGAATGTTAGATAAGCTGTCCTGTGAGCAGTTTGGAGCACGCTTCGGTAACAGTGTTTGTTTTCGATCACTGTGTGACTAGGTGGTGGTGACAAATACTGTCCCTCATGAGGTACAGAAGCTGCAGTGTCCCAAGATAAAGACTGTGGATATCAGTTTGATTCTTTCTGAAGCAATTCGGAGGATCCACAACGGAGAGTCCATGGCCTACCTTTTCCGAAACATCACTGTGGATGACTAGCTTTCATGAGGACCTTGACCCTGGAACTCCTGAGGAAGACATGGAAAAAGCAGTGCCATGAGTGACATACACAGTGTATCCTTGCAAGGGAGGACTGGAAACAGCCTGGAGTTAGATATTCTCTCTTCGTCGGATTGATGGATAGGAGGCAGTAAGAGAGTCAGGAAGAAGACAGAGCTCATGGATAAATATTATCATATGGCCTTAAATGTCTGCTGTCATCAGCCCTGTTCCTTAAACAAAAGTTTTAGCCGCTTTCCTGAAAAGAATCTGAAAATCTTATTAAAGAGGAAAGGCACATAAAGTCTTAACTCTATAATGTTCATTTAGTTGTTTCAGCTCCAGGGAAATGTGGGTATTGATGTTGAAGCTGGTTAGGGAAGCTGATTGCCTGGCCCTATTACTATCCAGTTGGCCTCTCCCATATCAACTTCAAGACTTTTATAGAGAAGCATATTTTTCTTTCAGAAACTGGTACACATACAGCCATTGAAAAATGAAGCATTCATGTTGTTACATCTGCCAAGGATGTCAGATTAGAAAATAGCATCCCACCTCTTGGTGTCTGAGTGGTTCTGAGGTTGCAAATAAAAGAATTCATTGTCTTGCTAGTCTCTTCATTAGATTGCAGAAGACCAGGGATACAAAATAGCAATCAGGTCTGTGGCTGGACGCAAACTCTTTGAGCAGGTTCCATCCCCTTCCTAAGTGTTGAAGCTAAATCCTTGTTGAATACTAAATTTTAAATCTAAATTAAAAAAAAACCCAGAGACTAGGTGTGGTGGCTCACGCCTGTAATTCCGGTACTTTGGGAGGCTGAGGCAAGGAGGACTGCTTGAGGCCAGGAGTTTGAGACCAGCCTGGGCAACATGTTGAAACCCATCTCTACAAAAAATACAAAAATTAGCCAGGCGTTGGTAGCACATACTTGTTGTCCCAGCTGCCTTGGGAGGCTGAGGTGGGAGGATTGCCTGAGCCAAGGAGATTGAAGCTGCCATGAACTATGTTGTGCCACTGCAGTCTAGCCTGGTTGACAGAGCAATACCCTGTCTCAAAAAAAAAGTGGGGGGGGGGGGGGGGCAGGCATGGTGTCTTACGCCTGTAATCCCTGCACTGCACTTTGGGAGGCTGAGGCAGGTAGATCACCTGTCAGGAGTTTTGAGACCAGCCCGGCCAACATGGCAAAACCCTGTCTCTACTAAAAATACAAACATTAGCCAGGCATGGTGGCGGGTGCTGTGATCCCAGCTACTCAGGTGGCTGAGGCCAGAGAATCGCTTGAACCCTGGAGATCGAGGTTGCAGTGAGCCAAGATCGTGCCACTGCACTCCAGGCTAGGCAGTGACAGAGACTCCGTCTCAAAAAAAAGATTGTCCTTTTGTCTGTGATAGATGATTCTTATGTGTAGTGCATTACTGAGGACTGTACTTGGCCCTTCTACCCAGCATTTTAAATTCCATCATCACAGTTGTGGTTAGTAGTGCCCTTGTCAGAGAGACCTGACTTCAGATGTGGAATCGTTTTTCACCCTTTGAGTCTGATCTAAGTCATAGGAAGGAGCAGCTGCTGGGAGATGCATGGAATTGCTTATTGCTTCTCTTAGCTCCTGAGAGATGGAAAGAAGCTTTAGGTACACAGTTGTTATTTCTCTCTGGGGAAGTTTCCTTAATATTTTTATTTTTCTGTTGATAAGCTCCCAACCCACAGTCAAGACTTTCAGCACATCAGCTTTTTCAAGCACACAAGTTACCTTCTGTTAATAGTCCTAGTAGGGCGATTTGAGCCAAGATCTGTCATTCAAATAATTAGCATGGCACTAGAGGCAGAGACAGAGGTTGTGGTCAGGAGACCTATTTTTTTTTTGAGACAGAGTCTCACTCTCACCAGGTGCCAGGCTGGAGTGCAGTGGCGTCATCTCGGCTCACTGCAGCCTCTGCCTCCCGTGTTCAAGCAATTCTCCTGCCGCAGCCTCCCAAGTTGCTGGGACTACAGGCACGTGACACCACACCCAGCTAATTTTTGTATTTTTAGTAGAGATGGGGTTTCACCATGTTAGCCAGGCTGGTCTCGATCTCTTGACCTCCTGATGTGCCCGCCTCGGCCTCCCAAAGTGCTGGGATTACCCAAGTGAGCCACCGCGCCCGGCCATCTTGTTTGTAACATCAGGCAGGGCTAAGTCCTTTCTGGGGCTCTGTCATCAGTTGTGAAAAAGGAGGTTCAAGATTGAAAACTAAGTTCCTTTTCAAGTCTAGAATTCCATTTATACCTCCAATTAGCAGTTCTTTCCTGTGTCTCCAGGGGTGGAGATCATGAATATTTAACAAAAATATCTAGTAAAATATGCAGTTCTCTGAATTAGAATATCCTGCTTTTTTCTTTTTTTTTGGTTGGGGGGTGGTATTTGGAGAGTTCTAATATGTGCCTGATAAGATAGTAAGCCTCGGGGCTATGAAAGTGAACATGTGAGGACTGTGGGAGCTAACCTGGCCATAGTGTAGTCACTGTGGCTGCTGACATCTTCTGCAAAATCACTGCTTTCAGAAATGTGAAAGTGTATTTCTCATGAGCATTCAGTCCAGCCCCTGCACCACAGCTTCTATTAGAACCAGTACTCGGTAGCTATAACTGATCAGCCTTTTTTTTTCTTTTTAAATTATTTTTCAGTAGAGATAGTGGGGCGGGGGTGGTCTCACTGTGTTGCCCAGGCTGGTCTCAAACTCCTGGGCTCAAACAGTCTTCCCGCCTCAGCCTCCCAAAGTGCTGGGACACATGAGACTGCGCCAGGCACCAGGCCTGGCCTTGTTTTCTTTTCTGTTTTTTTTTTTCTTTTCTTTTTTTTTTTGAGATAAGTCTCACTCTGTCACCCAGGCTGGAGTGCAGTGGTGCAATCTCAGCTCACTGCAACCTCCACCTTCTGGGTTCAAGCGATTCTTCTGCCTCTGCCAAGTAGCTGGGATTACACACGCATGCCACCACTGCCCGGCTAATTTTTGTATTTTTTAGTAGAGAAGAGTGGCTTCACCATGTTGGTCAGGCTGGTCTCGAACTCTTAACCTCTTATTCCACCCGCCTCGGCTTCCCAGAGTGCTGGGATTATAGTAAAAGACTACAGGCTCATGCCTATAATCCCAGCACTTTGGGAGGCCTAGGCAGGTGGATCACTTGAGGTCAGGAGTTTGAGACCAACCTAGCCAATACAGTGAAATCACATCTCAACTAAAAATGCAAAAATTAGCCCAGTGTGCGCCTGTAATCCCAGCTACTCAGGAGGCTGAGGCAGGAGAATTGGTTGAGCCCAAGAGGTGGAGCTTGCAGTGAGCTGAGATGGTGCCACTGCACTCCAGCCCAAGTGACAAAGCAAGACTCCATCTCAGAAAAAAAAAAAAAATAGAACTAGCTCTTTTGATAACCCTTTAAAGGTCTACTGTTTACCAAGTTCTTGGGATATAATAATGATTGAAAATCCTTCATTTAGACACTCAGGCTGGGCGTGGTGACTCACACCTGTAATCCGAGCATTTTGGGAGGCTGAAGGGGGTGGATCATGAGATTGAGAGATGGAGACCATCCTGGCCAACATGGTGAAATTCGGTCTCTACTGAAAATACAAAAATTAGCCAGGCGTGGTGGCATGAGCCTGTATTCCCAGCTACTCAGGAGCTGAGGCAGGAGAATTACTTGAACCCGGGAGGCGAAGGTTGCAGCGAGCCGAGATCAAGCCACTGTACTCCAGCCTGAGCGACTGGGGGACTCCATCTTAAAAAAAAAAAGGCTGACATAAAAATTTGAACTTGAGCAGTAGTTAAAATTGTATAGTTATGGCTGGGCGTGGTGGCTCATGCCTCTAATCCAAGCACTTTGGGAGGCCAAGGTGGGTGAATCACGAGGTCAGGAGTTTGAGACCAGCCTGGCCAACATGGTGAAACCCTGTCTCTACTAAATACAAAAAATTAGCTGAACATAATGGCGGATGCCTGTATTCCCAGCTACTCAGGAGGCAGAGGTTGCAGTGAGCCGAGATCGTGCCACTGCACTCCAGCCTGAATGACAGTGAGATGCCATCTCAAAGAAAAAAAAAAGTACCATTATTCCTTAGAATTCTTGGGGGATTGGTTTTCAGGACCCAACCTCCTGCCCATGGATATGTAAGTCTCTGATAGAAAATGGTGTGGTATTTGCATATAAGCTATGCACATCCTAGATGACTTATAATATCGAATGCAATCTAAATCCTATGTAAATGGTTGTCATACTGTATTGTTTAGAGAATCATGACAGGAATGTATACATGGTAGGTCCTGGTTGGTTAACTCTGCAGATGCAAAGCTCACAGGGAAGGAGGCTGGCTGGGCATGGCACACAACTCAGAGGTTCCCTTTAAGTAGCTTTGCTGTACTTCTGTTAGGAATTTATATTGAAGTTTTATTTATACATTTTTGGGAAGAATCTGGTCTGGGGAAGTCATGCCTCAATTTTCCTTTTTTTTTTTTTTTGAGATGGAGTCTTGCTCTGTCACCCAGGCTGGAGTGCAGTGGCACCGTCTTGGCTCACTGCAACCTCTACCTCCCAGGTTCAGGTGATTCTCCTGCCTCAGCCTCCCAAGTAGCTGGGATTACAGGCACGTGCCACCACACCCAGCTAATATTTTGTGTTTTTAGTAGAGATGGGTTTTTACTGTGTTAGCCAGGATAGTCTTGATCTCCCGAACTTGTGATCCGCCCGCCTCAGCCTCTCAAAGTACTGGGATTACAAATGTGAGCCACTGCGCTCAGTGTATGCCTCAATTGTTAACACCAGATTTGTCTCGAGCTGTTTAATCCTACTTTGTAATGAGCTGAGGCATGGGCCCTTGACCAGGTGAGTGTTTTTTGAGCTAAATTAATTTATGGCAGCTGGGTGCAGTGGCTCACACCAGCAATCCCAGCATTTTGGGAGGCTGAGGTGGACAGATGACCTGAGATCAGGAATTTGAGACCACCTGACCAACGGAGAAACCCCCTCTCTACTGAAAATACAAAATTAGCCCGGTGTAATCCCAGCTACTTGGGAGGCTGAGGCAGAATAGCTTGAACCTGGGAGGCAGAGCAAGATCACACCATTGTACCCCACTTTGGGCAATGAGAGCAAAACTCCGTCTCAGAGAAAAAAAATTGTAGCAGCACAGAAAAGGGACAACTAGCCACCAAGTAGTCCTCTGGTGGCTGATTGGAACCACCTGAGTAGTGGGTTGTCTTTTCCAAGTTGCTTCACGTTTGAACAAAATATGCGAACTCTCTGCAGGGCACCAAGGCCCCAGACCTGCATCCCTTAGACATGCGGCCACCACTCTGTGGAATGGATGCGGCCGATGACACAAAGCACGGTTGCCAGGAAACTCTCAAGTCTTTCTGTCCTTACCTGGCCCCTTAAGAGTGAGTGAATCCAGGCCTTTCTAGGTTAAGGGGATGGATGGAGTCTAGCTGGACTTTGGAGGCCATCTCAGCCCCTGTTGCCAAGGCACCCCTTGTGAGCCTTGTGGTGGCAGCGAGGGCGCGTTCTTACGCAGAATCTTCAGGGTGCGCGGGGGCCCCTAGGTTTCAAACCTCCGCCGGCGCGGGGACTCCGCCAGCGCGGAGACTGGGAGTCCAGGGCTCCAACTCGGGGACCCGAGGCAGGCGACAGACAGCGGAAGGGCGGATTCACCAGAGGCAGGAACTCCGTCCAGTGACTCACCCGAGGCGGTCAGACCCGGGGCAGGGGCGTCCCGAGGGCCTCGCAAGGCCCCCGTAAAATCCCCAAGACGCGGCGCGCAGTGAGTGGGGAGTGGTTGGCCGGCAACCCGCGGCCGCGCACAGCTCCCGACAGCCACGATGCCGCCCGCGACTGCGGTGACCACGGTCTCCCTCCGGGAGCTGGCGGACCTCTCCATCGGCACCCCGGAGGTGGGCGCCGTCAACTTCACCGCGCTGCACACGCTCATCGTGGCCATGCTCAAAAACCTCGACCTCCAAAATACCCAGATCGACTTCCAGGCCCCGTCGCCCGAGCCCAGCCGCTCGCTGCAGTCCTCCCAGGGCTTGCTCAGCACCCCAAACCTGCCCGCGCCCAAGGAGGCGCCCCGGGAGAAGCGCAAGAGCGTGAGCCGGGCGCCCCCGTCGGCGCTGGAGACCCAGGTGAAGGACCTGGGCGGCCAGGTGGAGGATCTGAGCAAGCAGCTCAAGCGCATGGATGGCCAGGTGCAGGGCATCGCTACGCACGTGCAGCACTTCTCCCAGGCCACCGGGCTCCACTTGGACGTGCCAGAGTGGCTGGAGGAGCAGGAGGTGGGCGTGCGGGGGCTGGATAGTGTGCGGACCGCCGAGGAGCTCAGCGTCGCCAGGGTGAGCGCTGCGTGGAGGTAACCCTCAGGTGGTCTGCCTCCTCCAGGCCGTCCTCTGGCCTGGCCGAGTCCCCACCCACAGTAGAGGGGCACGCGGGGGTGGGGACGGAGAGTCTGGGGACAGAGGAGGTGCCAGGCCTCAATGTGACTGGTTAGATACAGCAGTCTTGCAGGCCATGGGGCTGCTTCAGGATGTCCTGCAAGACCTAAAAACCCTAGAAAGAACACCAAGGAATCGCACAGGGTAGTGGTCCCATCCCACCTCCTCCTTCCTAGCCCTGTTTACAGGAGAGGCTCACCCAGCACTTATCACACATCCAAGGACCCTGAGCTGGCTCAGAGTGGGGCCAGCAACTTCTCAGAATATATATATATATATATATTTCTCTAAACATGATTCTCTAAACAATCAATACAGAATATATATATATATATATCTCAGAATATATATATATATATATTTTTTTTTTTTTTTTTTTTGAGACGGAGTTTCGCTCTTGTTACCCAGGCTGGAGTGCAATGGTGCGATCTCGGCTCACCGCAACCTCCGCCTCCTGGGTTCAGGCAATTCGCCCGCCGCAGCCTCCTTAGTAGCTGGGATTACAGGCACGCGCCACCATGCCCAGCTAATTTTTTGTATTTTTAGTAGAGACGGGGTTTCACCATGTTGACCAGGATGGTCTCGATCTCTTGACCTCGTGATCTACCTGCCTCGGCCTCCCAAAGTGCTGGGATTACAGGCTTGAGCCACCGCGCCCGGCCTTCTCAGAATATTCTTAAAGGAAATTCCCTTTTAAAAAGAATAACGAGATAAGTGTTGAGGACAAAGGCTCCCAGAGAAAGGGAGTCAGGATGGAGAGTTGGACCTCAGCTCCCTGTGGCCATGACACAAGCCACAGCAGGTAGGGGACAGTTTCATGTGGACTTTGTTTTTTTGGGACAGAGTCTCTCTAGTTGCCCAGGCTGGAGTGCAGTGGTGCAGTCTCGGCTCACTGCAATCTCTGCCTCCCAGGTTCAAGCAATCCTCCTGCCTCAGCCCCCCAGTAACTGGGATTACAGGAATGCACCACCACGCCCAGCTAACTTTTGTATTTTTAGTAGAGATGGGGTTTCGCCACATTGGCCAGACTGGTCTGGAACTCCTGACCTCAGGTGATCCACCCGCCTCAGCCTTCCAAGTATCTGGGATTATAGGCGTGTGCCACCACACCTGGCTAATTTTTGTATGGATTTCACCATATTGGCCAGGCTGGTCTGGAACTGCTCACGTATCCTTAGCCAAAACTGTAAGCCACTGCACCTGGCCTTCAGCTGGACTTTTGCTTTCTTGGAGGGAGAAGTGCATCAGATCACTGAGCATCATTAAGTATTCTCCAGTGAGCTCCAGGAAGCAACGCAGGCAGCGCCTGGAGGTAATAGACAAGCATGTCTGAGAGCCACATTAGGATGGGCCCAGAAGAAACAGCAGGAGCAATTAGGAAGACAGCTGGGCGGGGAGGCCAAGAGGAGAGACAGGAGGGGAAAGAGAGGCCAGGAAGAGGAGGCCAAGCCCCTGCAGGGGAGCTGTGGCTGCTCATGCCTTCCTGCCACATCACCCTGGGTCTCGAGACCCCAGTACCCCTCACTTTTGGTCTGGGAAGTATGTCTGCTTTCCTTTCCAAACTTTAAAGTGTGGTGGGTTTTTTGTTTTAACTTTTTTTTTTTTTTTTTGAACAGAGTCTCACTCTGTCGCCCAGGCTGGAGTGCAGTGGTGCAGTCTTGGCTCACTGCAACTCTGTCTCCTGGTTCAAGCAGTTCTGCCTCAGCCTCCCTAGTAGCTGGGATTATAGGTGCGCACCACCGCGCCCAGCTAATTTTTGTACTTTTAGTAGAGATGGGGTTTTTGAGTGTTGGCCAGACTCAAACTCCTGACCTAAAGAGATCCTCCTGCCTTGGCCTCCCAAAATGTTGGGATTACAGGCAAGAGCCACCGTGCCTGGCCTTTTGTTTTAATTTTTAGCTAATCTTAGATTCTAGAGGTTTGCATAATTTATAAAAAGCAACTTGTTTTATCTGTGATTATTAATATATTTCTAATCCCACATATGCTAGTGAGCACTTTAAGTTGTAGCCGTTTGCTTTGGTTCTTTTGAGGTGCTTTTCTCTTTAGACAGCACAGATGTTCAGCTCCTGTTGAAGGAACCCTTCCTTCCTTGCAAGGCAAGGTGGGCCTCATCCTCCAGACTTTCATGAGTGGGTTGGAGCAAACTGAATCCAGGACAAGAGGTCCCATCTCTGCAGCAGCGCTTGCTCCTGCCATGCCGCCCTCAGGGGCCCCTGCATCTCACTTCCCTTCCTGCGCTTGGCTGGGAGGTAAAAACCAGGCAGAAGGCAGCATGCAGGGGCTCCTGCCTGGAATCCCAGCACTGTGGGAGGCTGAGTCTGGAGGATTGCTTGGACCCAGGAGTTTGAGACCAGCCTGGGCAATGTGGCAAGACCTTATCTCTACAAAAAAAAAAAAAAAAGTTTAAAATTAGCTGGATGTGGTGGTGCAGGGCTGAAGTCCCAGCTACTCAGGAGGCTGAGGTGGGAGGATCACTTAAGACTGAGAAGTTGAAGCTGCAGTGACCTGTGGTGGCGCCCCTACGCTGCAGCCTGTCTCAAAAAACCAAACAGCCCGGTGCAGTGCCTTACACTTGTAATCCTAGTACTTAGTGAGGCGGAGGCGGGCGATCACGAGGTCAGGAGTTTGAGACCAGCCTGTCCAATATGGTGAAACCCCATTTCTACCAAAAAATACAAAAATTAGCCGGGCATGGTGGCACACACCTGTAGTCCCAGCTATTTGGGAGGCTGAGGCAGGAGAATCGCTTGAACCTGGGAGGCGGAGGTTGCAGTGAGTGGAGATTGCGCCACTATACTCCAGCCTCAGCGACAGAGTGAGACTGTCTAAAGAACAAAACAAAACAAAAAAAACCCAAATAGAAGAAACCCTCCCTTTCCATAAAAGCCACACAAATTCCCCCTTTCCTCATCTCCTGACACTGAGTCAGTGTGTGTGTGTGTGTGTGTGTGAATGTGTGTGAGTGTACAAAAGACACCCTGGGATCTCCAGGACGGTTTCCTGATTTTAGGGCTCATCCTCAGAGGAAAGCAGCATCAGAAGATGTTGCAAGAGGGGCAAGGTGCGGTGGCTCACACCTGGAATCCCAGCAGTTTGGGAGGCCAAGGCAGGTGGATCACCTGAGGCCAGGAGTTTGAGCCCAGCCTGGGCAACATAGTGAAACCCCATCTCCACTAAAAATGCAAAAATTAGCCAGGTGTGCTAGTGCACACCTGTAATCTCAGCTACTCCAGAGGCCAAGTGTATGAGTGTGTGTGTTAGTGTCTCAGGGTGTGTTAGTGCGTCAGTGTGTGTGGGTGTGTTCGTGTACGAGTGTGCATGTGTGTGCGTGTGTAGGGGCTGCTGTCATTCTCCTTCCCTGAACTCTTCTTCCAGGTGCTTTTACAGCGGGTTGATGAACTAGAGAAGCAATTCAAAGATCGAGAACAATTCCTGGTAATACCAGCCAGTTCCATGGGAAGGGGATTTCCAGGGGGCTGGCCCTCTCTCAGCATGGCCCTTTCTCCAGGGCTTGTCCCTCCGGGGCAGGCAATGTGTGCCTTCTGCCTCCCAAGTCTCTGCCCCTAGGATTAGAGGGAAATCTGCTCCATGCCTACCCAGCTCTCTACTGGGCGCCCACATGGGACAGAGAACTGGCTGCCCAGCCTTCACTGGTCACTTGAAGGGTGATGAATTCTCCCTGGGGCTAGGGCTGTGAAGGACCCACCCAGATCCTGTTAGACCAAGTCTTTTCCTAAAGCTTCTTGGGATTAATCAAGGGGTACGTGTGTCTTGCCTGTCACTGTCAGGAACTGGTCAGCCGGAAGCTCAGTTTGGCTCCTGGTGCAGAAGAAGTCACCATGGTCACCTGGGAAGAGCTGGAGCAGGCGATTACGGATGGCTGGAGAGCCTCACAAGCGGTGAACCAGTGGGGGCCTGGGCAGTGGTCTTGGGCGGGGCTCCCCAGAACCTCTTGCTTTGTACAGCTACACAGGATCCTGTTCTATGGATGTTCATCGTTCAGAAGTTTCATAATGTGGATATTTTACATGGTTTTTCCAATCTTAAGAGCAAGGCAACATTCACATGTGTGAATAGAAACAATGTGCATTAGTGATTTGGCTAGCCGTTGGCAAATTGCTTTCCATGGCTGCAATTCCAGTGGAGATTCCCGCCGCTGGCAGTGGAAGAGAGCACTTGTCCCTGACATTCCCCAGTGCTGTATGCTGGCACCCAATTTTTTGAGTTTTGCTAACCGACTGGGTCAACAGAAAATCGTACCTGAGTGTAGTTTTTATTTGCTTTTGTAGCTCTTCAAACTTTCTTTACAGTGTGTCCTGAAATGTGGGACCTTTCCTTATTAGTGGACATGGTGACCGACCGTGGAATGAAAACCTCCGTAGGGGATCCTTTGCTGCTGATGACTTTTGCACGCAGGCATGCTTCTGTCTGTCTTGGTTCAGCGTACAGATGACCAAATAGTTTTCAGATTCCCAATCTACCTTCATCTGAATAAAATCAAGCTGGATACTTTCAAATGGCCCTCTGAGATGAGACTTGGCTTCCCTTCTGGTCTTCACATTCCTCCCACTGGCTTTGGGCAAGTGGGTTATCAAAACAATCAAGCGAACTTTGAGGGCCGTTTGAAAATGTGGACAGAGGAGGGTAAAGAGTAAAGCTTTTGGCACCACCAAGTGGCCATCTTGGAGAGTGCCAAATATCTATGTACAGAAGACACCCTGGGTTCTCCAGGACTGTTTCCTGATTTCAGGGCTCATCCTCAGAGGAAAGCAGCATCAGAAGATGTTGCAAGAGGGGCGGGGCATGGTGGCTCATGCCTCGAACCCCAGCACTTTGGGAGTCTGAGGCGGGTGGATCACCTGAGGTCAGGAGTTTGAGCCCAGCCTGGGCAACATGGTGAAACCCCGTCTCTACTAAAAATACAAAAATTAGCAGGGTGTGGTGGCACACATCTGTGACCCCCACTACTCACGAGGCTGAGGCAGGAGAATCGCTTGAACCCAGGAGGCAGAGGTTGCAGTGAGCCGAGACTGTGCCATTGCACTCCAGCCAGTCTGGGCGACAAGAGTGAAAACTGTCTCAAAAAAAAGGTAAACTGGAAAGACTAGCCAGTCAGTCATGGGTGGAAAAAGGGGACAATGTGTGCTTCCTGTGGCTGTTCCAACAAATGACCACGGCTTTAGTGGCTTCAAACCACACAGATCTGTTACCTTACAGTTCAGAAGGATGCAAGGCCAGCACCACGTTTCACGGGGCAGAAGTCAAGTTGTTGGCCGGCTGGCTCCCGTTGGTGGCTCTGGGGGGAGAATCCATTTCCTGGTCATTTTCAGCTTCTAAGTGTGGCCAGCAGCCCTTGGCTCTGGCCACATCACTTTCAGCCTCCTTCTTGTAAGGACCTTTGTGACTTCATTACTGCATCCACCTAGATAACCCGGATGCTTTCTCCACCTCAAGATCCTTAATCACAACTGCAAAATCACTTTTGCCACGTAAGGTAACGTTTGGGAGATGGGGACATGGATATCTTTGGGAGCTTATATTTAGGGCACCATAGTGACTAAAATCAAAATAATGGTTTTTTAGAATACCTCAAAGTCCTAGAAAAATGGACATAACAGCCAGAGGCAGGGGGAGGAATGCGGTCCTAGAAAAGTTGGTACAGTTTTTTTTAAGGGCATCAGATGAGACCCTATCATTTCTAAGGATGATAGGAATTAAAAATAATGAGTGCTAGCTGGGTGTGGTGGCTCACACCTGTAATCCCAGCACTTTGGGAGGCTGAGGCGGGAGGATCACCTGAGGTCAGGAGTTTGAGACCAGCCTGGTTTACATGGTGAAATCTTGTCTCTACTAAAAATACAAAAAATGAGCCAGGTGTGGTGGTGCATACCTGTGATCTCAGCTACTTGGGAGGCTGAGGCACTTGAACCAAGGAGGCAGAGGTTTCAGTGAGCCAAGATCGTGCCACTGCACTCTAGCCTGGGTGACAGAGCATGACTCTGTCTCAAAAAAAAAAAAAAAGGAAAAAAAGAAAAGGCTGGGCGTGTTGGCTCTCGCCTGTAATCTCAGCACTTTGGGAGGCCAAGGCAGGTAGATCACCTGAGGTCAGGAGTTCGAGACCAGCCTGACCAATGTGGTCTCTACTAAAAGTACAAAATTAGCTAGGCATGGTGGCGCATGCCTGTAATCCCAGCTCCTTGGGAGGCTGAGGCAGGAGGATTGTTTGAACCTGGGAGGCAGAGATTTCAGTGAGCCGAGACTGTGCCACTGCACTCCAGCCTGAGCAACAAGAGCGAAACTCTGTCTCAAAAACAAAATAATTAGCCAGGCATGGTGGCATGCATCTGTAGTCCTAGCTACGTGGGAGGCTGCAGAGGGAGGATTGCTTGAGCCCAGGAGTTGCAGTGAGCTGTGATTGTGCAGTCCAGACTGCGTGAGAGAGCGAGACCTGGCTCTAAAGTGTGTGCTTGTGTGTGTATTGCTATAACTGTTTTCATGTCCATCTCTGCTAGTTCTAACACATATGCCAGTGTTCAGTTGGTCTCAGTTGGTTATCTCCTCATTATGGGTCATGTCTTCCTGCCTCTTTGTATGCCTGGCAATCTTTGATCAGGTGCCAGCCATTGTGACTTTTCCTGCATTGGATGCTGGGTATTTTTTTTTTTTTTTAGATGGAGTCTTGCACTGTCACCCAGGCTGGAGTACAGTGGCATGATCTCTGCTCACTGCAGCATCTGCCTCCCAGGTTCAAGCGATTCTTCTGCCTCAGCCTCCCGAGTAGCCGAGATTACAGGCGTACACCATCACACCCAGCTGATTTTTTGTATTTTTATAGAGACAGCATTTCACTGTATTGGCCAGACTGGTTTCAAACTCCTGACCTCAAATGCTCCACCTGCCTTGGTCTCCCAAAGTGTTGGGATTACAGGCATGAGCCACCACACCCAGCCTATATGTTTTAAATATATGGTTCACATACCTTCCAGTAGACATTTTTATCATCAACAATGGGGCAGACTTTATATTTTGTTTATTGATTGATTGATTGACTGAGACAGAGTCTTGCTCTGTCACCAGGCTGGAGTGCAGAGGAGCAATCTTGGCTCACTGCAACCCGGGTTCAGGCGATTCTCCTGCCTTAGCCTCCTGAGTGGCTGGGACAACAGGCACCTACCACCACACCCGGCTAATTTTTTGTATTTTTAGTAGAGACAGGGTTTCAGGCCAGGCATGGTGTCTCACACCTGTAATCCAAGCACTTTGGAGGCCAAGGTGGGCAGATCACCTGAGGTCGGGAGTTCAAGACCAGCCTGACCAACATGGTGAAACCCCATCTTTTAAAAAAAGAGAGAGAGAGACGGGGTTTCACCATGTTGGCCAGGCTGGTCCCGAACTCCTGACCTCAAGTGATCTGCCTGCCTCCGCCTCCCAAAGTGCTGGGATTATAGGTGTGAGCCACTGTGCCCAACCTAGACTTTATATTTTAAACTTATACATTGTGTCCTTTATTTAAAGGTTCAGCAGAAGTCCAGAGGATCACTTGTATTTTGTAGTTTTCCCATCTTTTATGAATAAAAATTACTTTTTGTTTTTGAGATGGAATCTCACTCTGTTGCCTAGGGTGGAGTGCAATGGTGCAATCTCAGCTCGCTGTAACCTCTGCATCCCGGGTTCAAGCAATTCTCCTGCCTCAGCCTCCTTAGCTGGGATTATAGGCATGTACTACCACACCTGGCTAATTTTTGTATTTTCAGTGGAGACAGAGTTTCGCCATGTTGGCCAGGCTGGTCTCAAAGTCCTGACCTCAAGTGATCCATCCACCTCGGCTTCCCAAAGTGCTGTGATTATCGGCATGGGCTACCACGCCCAGCTGCAAAAATTACGTATTTTTGTATGTGTCATTTACAAATATGCAGATTCTCAAAACTCTGGATGCCTAGCCTTCCAGAACGTCAGGGTGTTTCTTTATGTCAAGCTTAGCTTTTAGGACCACAAGGTTTTTTTCTCCAGGGAACCTAAATCATCTTAGTCAGATATCCCAGATTTCCTTTATTCCATCTCTGATAGTGACTATTTTGAGTGTTATCTATTTCCTTCTTCTCTCCATCCAGGGCTCAGAAACACTCATGGGATTTTCTAAGCGCAGAGGCTTCACCTCCTTAACGTCACCTGATGCGACTCTAAGCGGAGCCACTACTAAGCAACCAAGTATTGACCAGGCTCTGGATTCTGCCAGGGGTCTTGGCCCAGATCAGACTGCATCAGGTTCTAGTGGCACAGCACACCCCTCTGATGGGGTGACCGGTAGGGAACAAAGCAGGGTCCCCCCTGGTGCTGGTAGACAGCAGCAGCCGAGGGCCCATGATGAGGCTGACATGCCACAACTCCGTCCATCTTCCATATTCCGATTCAAATTAGACTCGGACCATCAAAGGAGTAGAGAGAAGCTTACCTCGACACATCCAAGAAAAGATGAACAAGATGCACGTCCTGGCCCAGCTCAACAGGACTTAACCTTGGCCAGTGGCCAGCCCAGCAGGGTGCCCACTAGCAAGAGTCAGGTCCGTGCAAGGCCAGATCGCCAGGGGTTAGAACCAACTGGCATGGATCAGCCTGGACTCATGCATGCTGGCACTTACCCACATGCTGTGGTACCCCTCAACATGGGGCAGCTTGGTGTACTGCCACCTGAAATGGATGATCAGGAACTGGTACCACTTGTCATGGATCAGAAAGGTATGGTGCCACCATCAGTACCTGGCAGAGACCAGCAAGGATTGGAACTACCTAGCACAGACCGACATGCTATGGTTCCACTCAGCCCATACCAGCCTGGTGTGACACTTCCTGGCACAGACCAACGTGGTATGGAACCACTTGTCACAGATCGGCATGGATTTGTAATATCAGTCACAGGTCGGCAAGGACTGGTACCCCCTGGTATGAACCAGCAAGGATTGGTATGGCCTGGCATAGATCAACATGGACTGGTTCCACCTTTTACAGACCAGCATGATTTGGTACCACCTGGTTTGATACCAATTAGTGCAGATCAGCAAGGTTTTGTGCAGCCCAGTTTGGAAGCAACTGGCTTCATACAACCTGGCACAGAGCAGCATGATTTGATCCAGTCTGGCAGATTTCAGCATGGTTTGGGGCAGCCTGGTGCATATCTGCCCGGCTTGGTCCAACTTGGTGCAGATCAGCGTGGTTTGGTCTGGCCTGGAATGGATCAATCTGGTTTGGTCCAGCCTGGCACAGGTCAGCGTGGTTTGGTCCAGTCTGGTGCAGGTCAGGGTGGTTTGGTACAGCCTGGTGTAGATCAGCCTGACATGGTCCAACCTGGTACAGATCAGATTGATGTAGTACAGACTGGTGCATATCCACCTGATTTAGTCCACCCTGGCATGGATCAGCATGGTCTGGTACAACCTGGTACATTTCCTAGTGGCTGGATACAGCCTGATGTGTATCTACCTGGACTGGTACAGCCTGGTACATATCCACATGATTTGGTACAGCCTGGTGCAGATCCACGTGGTTTGGTCCAACCTGGAATAGATCAGCGTGGTTTGGCTCAGCTAGGAGTCGATCAAAATGGTTTTGTGCAGCCTGGCACAGATCAGTTTGGTTTGTTCCAGCCTGGTACAGATCAGTATGATGTGACCCAACCTGGAGGTCAGCGTGACTTAGCAGCACAAGCTGGTGCAGTTCGGCCTGGTTTGGCACAAGCTGTTGCAGTTCGGCCTGGTTTGGCACAAGCTGGTGTAGTTCGGCCCGGTTTGGCACAAGCTGGTGCAGTTCAGCCCGGCTTGGCACAAGCTGGTGCAGTTCGGCCTGGTTTGGCACAAGCTGTTGCAGTTCGGCCTGGTTTGGCACAACCTGGTGCAGTTCGGCCTGGTTTGGCCCAACGTGGAGTGGATCAGCATGGTTTGGTGCAACGTGGTACAGTTCAGCCTGGTTTGGCCCAACCTGGTGCAGTTCGTCCTGGTTTGGTCCAACGTGGAGTAGATCAACGTGGTTTGGTAGAACGTGGTACAGTTCAGCCTGGTTTGGACCAACCTGGTGCAGTTCAGCCTCGTTTGGTCCAACCTGGAGTGGATCAGCCTGGTTTGGCACAACCTGGTGCAGTTCAACCTGGTTTGGCACAACCTGGAGTGGATCACCATGGTTTGGCACAACCTGGTGCAGTCCAGCCTCGTTTGGTCCAGCCTGGTGCAAGTCAACTTGGTATGGTGCAGCCTGGAATAGATCAGCAAGGTTTGGTGCAACCTCAGGCAGATCCACGTGACTTGGTACAACCTGGTGCCTATCCTCCTGGTTTGGTACAACCTGGTCCAGATCGTCGTGGTTCAGTACAACCTGGTGCATATTTGCATGATTTGTTTCAACCTGGGACATACCCACGTGGTCTGGTGCAGCCTGCAATGGATCAGTATGGTTTGAGACAACCTGGTGCATATCATCCAGGCTCGATAGCACCAGGCACAGAGCTTCGCCGCTCTTCAGCATTCCAGGTGGATTCTACAGGTTTTATATCAGCACATCCATATCCACATGGTGTGGTACCTCCTAGCAGAGAACAACACGGCCAGATGTCACCACTCCTAGCCAGTCAAGGTTTGGCATCACCTGGTATAGACCGAAGGAGTTTTGTACCACAAGAAACTTATCAGCAAGGTTTGATGCATCCTGGCACTCTGATAAACCAGCGTGGCCCAACACCAGTGAGCACAGGCTTGGAATCTACACGCCCAGATCAACAGCATTTGACATCACCTGGCCCAGGTGAGCATGACCAGGTACACCCAGATGCAGCTCAGCGCAGCCGTGCTTTCTCTCTCGCAGACAGCCGTGATTCAATGCATCCTGGCTGTGGTGGCCCAAGGGACCTAAGTGCTGATCAGCATAGCCAGGAAGGTTTGGACCCAATTAGAACACAAGCCTCAGACCAGCCTGGAATTCCTGCACAGATGGCCCCAGGCCAAGATATCACCCTTTTCAGGAGTCCAGACTCCCTCGGCCGAGTGTCATCAGAAAGGAGCCAAGTCTTGAGTGAGGTCCCGAGTGAGCACCGTGATTCACTGAGCTCTAGTTTCCCCGCGGCAGTGGAAACGCTTCGTCTGATGGGAGAGCTCAGCGGCCTCTATCTGGAGCTAAAGGAGAGTATGAAGGATCTGGATGAGGAGGAGACCGGCCAAACCGAGATAGGGATACAGCTCCTGCTGGCGAAGATGGGTGGGTGCCGCTTGCCGACAGTGGAGAAACCACCGTCTCTGTATTCAGTGGGTTTCCTTCTTTTCTTCCCCTGGCCTAAACTCCTGGCTGCTAGACTTTTCCCTGAGCCCCTGAAAACAGCATGTCATTCAGAGCATGTCTCACAGCCTTTGCAGTCCAGAAAAATGGGGGGGCAAAGGAAAGATCTAAGCCCCAGGAGAGGAGTGGAGCAGGTGCTTGTGGCTTTGCCACACTCTCTGCACAACAGCTGGGGAGAGCATCTGGTTATAGAAAGCAGTAGCATTGGGAGGTGGGTGGGATAGAATGCTGAAGAATTAAACTTAACATTTTGACTGGGAGCAATGGCTCACACCTGTAATCCCAGCACCTGGGGAAGCAGAGCCGGGTAGATCACTTGAGACCAGGAGTTTGAGACCAGCCTCCGCAACATGGCAAAACCCCATCTCCACACATAAAAAAAATAGGCAGCGTGGCGTCACACACCTGTGATACAGCTACTTGGGAGGCTGAGGTGGGAGGATTGTCTGAGCCCGGGAGGCAGAGGTTGCAGTGAGCTGTGATCGTATCACTGCACTCCAGCCTGGATAACAGAGCGAGACTCTGTCTCAAACAAAACAAAACTTAACATTTGCCTATTCCCAATTACAAGCCCAGAAAATAATTAAGATTTTTGCGATGGATGGAACTGGTGAGTTTGTTGTCCCAAAGCCCTTTAGGATGTCAGGCCCCAGGTGGATGTTTTATGGGCTATGGACAGTCCTCTCTCCCTTCTTCCCATCCTGCTTTCCCAGTCCCCAGGAGATGCAGGATAAAGTGATAGGTTCTGCTGTTCTCTGGGGCAGCTTCAGCGTTGCAAGGGCTGGAAATGGAGATTGGGAGCTCACTAGAGCTCTGACCCCTCTGATCATAAGATCTCTGTTTTCCGTAGTCAAAAAGATCATCCCTCCTGACCTGCAGGAACAGCTGAAGATTGTAAAGACTTTAGCCAAAGAAGTTCGGCAGGAAAAAGCAAAAGTAAGGAAGAGTCGACCCACTTTACCTTTTTTTTTTTTTTTTGGAGATGGAGCCTCACTCTGTTGCTTAGGCTGGAGTGCAGTGACGTGATCTCTGCCTCCAGGTTCAAGTGATTCTCCTGCCTCAGACTCCCAAATAGCTGGGATTACAGGTGCCCGCCACCACACCTGGCTAATTTTTGTATTTTTAGTAGAGACGAGGTTTCACCGTGTTAGCCAGGATGGTCTCGATCTCCTGACCTCGTGATCTGCCCGCCTCAGCCTCCCAACGTGCTGGGATTACAGGCGTGAACCACTGCGCCCAGTATCACTTTGTCTTTTAATGCTAATAATAGCACTTTCCATGTGTATTTTATGGATGAAACGGTCCTTTCTCGTTGATTATTATCTGATTGGATCTTTGCCATCCCATCAGATAGGAAATGCACCTTGGGTATCATAGTGTTCATTTCCTGGATCTAAACACTGATGCTCAGGCCGGGCACAGTGCCTCATGCCTAAAATCCCAGCACTTTGAGGGGCCAAGGCGGGGGAATCACTTGAGCTCAGGAGCTCAAGACCAGCCTGGGCAACATAGCAAGGCCTTATCTCTGCAAAAAATTTAAAAATTAGCTGGACATGGTAGTTATGCCTGTAGTCCCAGCTACTTGGGAGGCTGAGGCAGGAGGATTGCTTGAGCCTGAGTTTGAGGCTGCAGCAAGCTATGATCACACCACTGCACTCCAGCCTGAGTGACACAGCAAGACCCTGTCTCTAAATTTTTTTTAAAACTGATGCTCAAAGCTATTATGATTCAGCTGAGCCAAATCAGAAGGGCTTTGCTCTTTTCATTATCTGTGGCAGCCTTGGAGTCCAGTTTGTGAGACTTTCTGGGGTCACAGGTCATTGCAAGGGACTGCTAGATCTTCAGTCATTCTCCCTTTTTTGTAAATTGAGTCAGAGTCTCGCTCTGTGGCCCAGGCTCTGTGACATTGAGAAGGAGATTGTGTCCAGTGACACAATCTTGGCTCATTGCAACCCCTGCCCCCTGGGTCAAGCCATTCTTGTGCCTCAGCCTCCCAAGTAGCTGGGATTATAGGCACATGACATCAGGCCACACTAATTTTTGTATTTTTTAGTAGAGATGGGATTTCACCATGTTGGCCAGGCTGGTCTTAAACTCCTGACCTCAGGTGATCCACCCACCTCAGCCTCCCAAAGTGCTGGGATTACAGGTGTGAGTCCACATGCCCAGCCCAGACATTCTCTTCATGCCAGCTCCCTACATCCATGGGATGGATGAATGGGCGGATGGACATCCACAAAGGCTCCTGGCTTTTGTGGGAGAGGGTTGCGTAGTAGAGGGAAGGTGGGCTGGCATGAGCTGCAGGGGCACACTCGAAAAGTGGGAGCTTGGGCCTGCCTGACCCTCCTTATTCGCTGGGTTTGTAGGTGGAAAGGCTGCAAAGGATCCTGGAGGGGGAACCAGGGAAGGAACTGAGAGCTGGTGACCTGAGCTTGCAGCTGGGTGTCCTCAGGTAATATGTCCCTGCTGAGAGCAGCTGGTCCCCTGGAATCACAAATTCTCAGCCAAGGGGATGATGACGGCAGTGGCTCCCTCACGCCCCTGAAGGGACCACAGTCTTCGGCCTGGATTGTGTCTGCCCTTCAGGTTGTCCATGTCTAGTCCAAGGAACTGGTAGAAGCTCCCTAGGTTCCCAAAACAACTCAGGACCAGGTCTTAGAAAAGCAAAAAGAAGCTTCTCAGACTCTGGCCCCGGTCAGAGGCCAGAGGAGACCACTTCTGACGGCCCCTCTGAGCCCCCTCTTTGCAGTGCCCAGTCCTGCCACCCAGAAGCCTCCCAGGACAGAGGCTGGGCCTGGGACTGCCGACAAACTCTGATAGGGTTGGGGGAGACGCCCTAGCTGTGTCTGGTGTCCCTGCACCCCTGACGGCTTAGGCTCTGCATGGGTGGGCTCGGGTCTGTGGCCTGAGTGTGGATTCTGAGTCTCTTGTCGTGCACCAGAGTCACCGTGACTGACATTGAGAAGGAGCTGGCCGAGCTGAGGGAGAGCCAAGAGATGGGCAAGGCCGCCATGGAAAATTCTGTCTCTGAAGCCTCCCTTTACCTGCAGGACCAGGTGAGGATTCCGTGCTTTTCAGCTCCAGGGACCAAGGGCCCTTCTCAGAGTTGGCTTGTCAGAAACCAGGTCCCTCCTGTCCCGTGTCTCTGTGTGTGTGTGTGTGTGTGTGTGTGTGTGTGTGTGTGTGATGTGTGTGGTGTGACGTGTGTGTGGCGTGGGGGGTGTGGGTGTGGGTGTGTGGGGGGGTGATGGAGGGGTGTGTATGGTGTTTGTGTGGCGTGGGGTGTGTGGGGTGTGTGGTGTGGGTGTGTGTGGTGTGTGTGGTGTGTGGGTGTGGGGTGTGGTGTGTGGGGTGTGGGTGTGTGGTGTGGGTGTGTGTGGTGTGTGTGTGGGGTGTGTGGGGGGTGTTTGGTGTGTGTGCGTGGTGTGTGTGTGTGGGATGTGTGTGGTATATGTGTGGTGTGTGTGTGGTGTGTGGTGTATTTGGTGTGTGTGTGGTGTGGTGTGTGGTGTATGTGTGTGTGGTATATGGGTGTGTGGGGTGTGTAGGTGGTGTGTTTGGTGTGTGGTGTATGTGTGTGTGGTGGGGGTGTGTGGTGTGGATGTGTGTGGTGTGTGTGATGTGGGTGTGTGGTGTATGTGGTGTGGGTGTGTGGTGTGTGTGTGGTGTTTGGTTGTGTGTGGTGTGTGTGGTGTTTGGTTATGTGTGGTGTATTTGGTGTGTGTGTGGTGTGTGTGTGGTGTGTTTGGTGTGTGTGCGTGGTGTGTGGTGTGTGTGTGATGTGTGTGTGGTGTGTGTGTGGTGTGTGTGTGGTGTGTGTGTGGTGTGGGTGTGTGTGGTGTGGGTGTGGTGTGGTGTGTGTGTGGTGTGTGGTGTGTGTGGTGTGGGTGTGTGGTGTGGGTGTGGTGTGGGTGTGGTGTGGTGTGTGTGGTGTGTGTGTGGTGTATTTGGTGTGTGTGGTGTGTTTGGTATGTGTGTGTGGTAGATGTGTGTGGGGTGTGTAGGTGGTGTGCTTGTGTGTTGTGTGGTGTGCGTGTGGTGTGCGTGTGTGTGCTGTGCGTGTGTGTGTGCTGTGTGTATGGTGTGTGTGTGTGTGGGGGGTGTGTGTGTGTGTGTGTGTGTGTGTGTGGTATGTTGGCAAGGAGGGGAGGAAGGAGTGGCAGCAAATGTGTCCAGGATGTAGCTCCCTCCTTATCAAAGACAGCTCTGAGTCCACAGGGGCAGGTGGCAAGGAAAAGGCACCCCCATGAGGCCTGTTTACCTCCCAATCTTTCTTTCCCTCTTTTTTTTTTTTATGAGATGGAGTTTTCCAGTTATCCAGGCTGAAGTGCAGTGTCTCCATCTCAGCTCACTGCAACATCTGCCTCCCAGGTTCAAGTGATTCTCCTGCCTCAGCCTCCTGAGTAGCTGGGATGACAGGCACGCTCCACCACACCTGGCTAATTTTTGTATTTTTAGTAGAGACAGGGTTTCACCATGTTGGCCAGGCTGGTCTCAATCTTTCCCTACCTTTTTTATGATATAATTCATATATCATAAAATTCACCCTTTTAAAGTGAATAAGGCAGTTTTTAGTACATTCACAAAGTTTTACAACTATCACCACAATCTAATTCCAAAGCATGTAATCACCCCCAAAAGAAACCCTGTAACTCTTAGCAATCTCTCCCCATTCCCTTCTATCCCTCAGCCCCTGGCAACCACGAATCTGCTTTCTGCCACTGTGGATTAGTCTATTCTGGACATCTCATATAAATGGAGTCATACAACGTATGACTGTTGTAGCTGGCTTCTTTCACTTAGCACGACGATTTCCAGGCTCATCCATGCTGCAGCATGTCAATACTCGTTCCTTCTTATGCTTAATAACATTCCCACAATTTGTTTTTCTAGGCACCAGTTGAAAGACATTCGGTTTGTTTCTATCCTTTGGCTATAATGATTAATGAACATTCATGTAAAAGTTTTTTTGTTTTTCTTTTCTGAGACGGAGTTTCACTCTTGTTAGCCAGGCTGGAGTGCAATGCCATGATCTCAGCTCACTGCAACCTGTGCCTCTCAGGTTCAAGTGATTCTCCAGCCTCAGCCTTCTGAGTAGCTGGGGTTGCAGGTGCCTGCCACCAAACCTGGCTTATTTTCATATTTTTAGTAGAGACGGGGTTTCTCCATGTTGGCCAGGCTGGTCTCGAACTCCTGACCTCAGGTGACCTGCCCCCCTCAGCCTCCTCCTAAAGTGCTGGGATTACAGGCGTGAGCCACCGTGCCCGGCCCCCTTGTGCTTTCAGCCAAATTCTGGGCTCCCTCCCAAGTTGCTGAAACTGTGGTGTGCACCATTTCATGACTCCAGTCCAAGGGTCCTGCCTGAGGAGCAGCTGAGAGTGTTTAAGAGTCACCTGTCAGTCCAAGCTCATGACTGGCTGTCCCAGGACCACACTCAGGAGACAGTCCACTTCCTGGGGGCCGGGCGCAGTGGTTCATGCCAGTAATCCCAGCACTCTGGGATACTGAGGCAGGTGGATCACAAGGTCGAGAGATTGAGACCAAACTGGCCAACATAGTGAAACCCCGTCTCTACTAAAAATACAAAAATTAGCTGGGTGTGGTGACTTGCACCTGTAGTCCCAGCTACTCAGGAGGCTGAGATAGGCGAATCGCCTGAACCTGGGAGGCGGAGGTTGCAGTGAGCCGAGATCACACCACTGTACTCCAGCCTGGCAACAAAGAGAGACTCCATCTCAAGAAGAAAAATAAAGGGTTCCTGTTGGGCTGACCTAGCCTCCTTTTGCAGACTTTTTTCAGAGGCCCCGCTGCCACACGCCCCATCAGTAGCCACCGTGGCCTGCGGCCTTTCTCTGAACACACTCCTATTCTCTCCTGCTGTTTTTTGCACGGACAGCTGTGGCTTAGTCTTAAGACTCCACTGAAATGCCCATCTTTCTGGGAGGCCTCTTCCTCTTTCTGAGGGATAACTGGCCGGTCCCTGCGCCTCCGGGGCTCTCGGAGGTACCTGGTTCCACACAGGCTTTTCTGGTTATAAGCAGCGGTGTGTCTTCAAGCCCAGGCAGCAGGGCGTGTGCTGGGGATGTGCAGCTGTAGGGAGCAGAGAAAAAGGGAAACTCCAGGCCACGGCAGAGGCTGGGGCAGGCCACCCCACAGGTCCTTCTGCATCTGATTTTGTGGGTGGCTGTGTCCCTCTCCTTACACATCCCCTCAACCCCTGTGTCTCTCTCCCATCCCACTCTCTATCACCTTGTTCTTCATGGTCCAGGGCAGCCGCTCCAGCCCTGCAGAGTCCTTTCTGCTCCATCACCCACTCCCAAGAGAGGAGCCCAGGTTGGCCCAGCCTCTCTTTTTGAGCCAGGTGACATGTCACAGGTCTTTGGTCGGTTGAGGTACCGGCTGCCCTTGGATCAGCTGTCGACCTAGGAGCCCTCATTTGTGGTGACCAACAGGGCCCGAGGGATGCAGAGAACATGGGGGCAACCTTCAAGGATCTTGCCCTGTAAGTGGTTTCCACTGCCCGGCATAGGAGACACCCCTGGAGTAGTGTCAGCACGTGCCCTCTTCCTGTATCATTAGTCATTGCCATGCTAGGTGCATGGAGCCTGTCCGTTCCACCTGGCGTCTGAGCAGGAGCGTGTGCAAGCCCACCCCTCACAGCCCCAGAGCCCAGGGCGGGGCCTGTGTGTCCTCAGGGTCCTCTGTGTGTTTATGGCCTGGCTAAGTGGCAGCAGCACTTTAGGATTTAGCTGAAGAAGAGATGTCTCACACTGAGCTGGGGAGGTGGGGGCTGGAGGAAGCTCTAGGGACCTTCCTTCTGCAAAGGCTTAGTTCAGCACTGATGCTGTGCTCCCAGAGAACTCTCTCTACTCACCATTTACCGGATAGAGCGCCCACAATGGCACATGCTCTGGGAGGCACTGAGGATGCGGCAACTGCCCAGAGCGTGACAGGGGAGAGGCACACAGCCTAGAAGCGGTGCCGGCGTGGGCAGAGGAGGCAGTGACCAGCCTCACTGCCCTGCTGCCGCCGTCTCTCCTGCACGCAGTTGAACAAGCTCAGGACGATCATCGAGAGCATGCTGGCCTCCTCCTCCACACTCCTGTCCATGAGCATGGCCCCGCACAAGGCCTACACCTTGGATCCTGGCCAGATTGACCCTGAGGCCACCTGTCCAGCCTGCAGCCTGGACGTGAGCCATCAGGTCAGCACACTGGTACAGCGCTACGAGCAGCTCCAGGACATGGTCAACAGACTAGTGGTCTCCCGGCCCTCCAAGAAGGCCAAGCTCCAGAGACAGGTGGGGCTCTGCTCACCTTCCTCCTCCCACAACTGGACATGGCCCCACAGGGGAGGTCTGCCCTGCTGCAAACCCACAGAGGTGGGGCAGAATCCTCAAGGTCAGCTATCCATGGTGGAGCCCTTTAGCCAGATCCCACAGAAGTCCTTGGTCTTTCTGCAGGTCCACAGTGAGGGTAGCAGCAGAACTAGCTTTGAGGATGGGAGACCATGTGGAAGAGCTGGCTTGATGGGGTGGGACAGCACAGGCCTGCTGAGTTACATGACCTGGAGACACAGGCCCAACTGTAGGAGACGCTGTCTCCCTGGCACACTAGTCTTCCGAGCCCCTCTCGATTTTCCTCGAAAGGGCAGGCTCGCTGGTGGGGGCGGGCACAGCCACAAGTACTGGGTCCTATCTCTTGGGCTGAGGAAATCAGATTTGGGCCAGGAGAGGAGAGGAGAGGAGAGGAGACTAAAGCCCACAGCCCAGCCCTCAAGGGCCATGGGACATACTCCATAGCCTCCACCACCTCCACTGACCCCTCACCGAAGACCAGCGTCCCGAGGCTAGTCCATGGGAGTGTGGGTGACTGACACTGTGTCCTATGGGAGTGGACACCCACAGAGGGCAGAAAGAGAGCCTTCCCCACCGTTAATGGGAAATTGTTTTCCATTGTTGTTGTTTTGAGACAGAGTCTCCCTATGTTGCCCAGGCTGTTCTAGAACTCCTGGGCCCAAGTGATCCTCTTGACTAAGCCTCCCAAAGTGCTAGGATTACAGGCATGAGCCACTGCTCCCAGCCCTGGAAATGTTATAAGGGCCACTTTTTCTGGGGGCAGCAATACTATGGTAGCAGGGAGTGGGATCACACCAGCAGCCTCAGAGAGCCTTCCCGACCCTCCTTCCACAGGACGAGGAGCTGCTGGGCCGCGTGCAGAGTGCCATCCTGCAGGTGCAGGGCGACTGTGAGAAGCTCAACATCACTACCAGCAACCTCATCGAGGACCATCGGCAGAAGCAGAAGGACATTGCTGTGAGTAGCCACAGGGTGGCTGGGATGGGCCCAGGGATCAGTGTGGTGCCCCCAGCCCTGTAGCTCTGGCTCCTTTTTCTCTGTTCACTTGGCCTTCCCAGATGCTGTACCAGGGTCTGGAGAAGCTGGAAAAGGAAAAGGCCAACAGGGAGCACCTGGAGATGGAGATCGATGTGGTGGGTACCAGGCCCCAGGAGCCATGCTGTGTCTGTCACGGGGCAGTCTCGCTGGCCGTTCTTTGAAAGGGCAAGTGGAGGGGAGCTGGCAAGAGGAGGGTGGCCTCCCAGAAACCTGCCTGGTGACAGGGGTCGACACCCCCAGGGAATGGGGCCCCTCCGTGGCCTTCTCCCAGATGCGGGGACCTCTGTCTCTCTCCGGGCAGAAAGCCAACAAGAGTGCTCTGGCCACCAAAGTGAGCCGTACCCAGTTTGATGCCACCACAGAGCAGCTGAACCACATGATGCAGGAGCTGGTGGCCAAGATGAGTGGGCAGGAGCAGGACTGGCAGAAGATTCTGGACAAGCTGCTCACAGAGATGGACACCAAGGTGAGGCGGGGCCTTCCATCCCACAGCCCTGCCCCCAGGATCGGGACAGCACCACCTTCTCCTGGGCCAGCCCCCCACCTGATTCCTTAGAGGTCCCACAGCCCCCCTTCCCCCACTGCAGCTGGACCGCCTGGAGCTAGACCCACTGAAGCAGCTGCTGGAGGATCGGTGGAAATCGCTGAGACAGCAGCTCAGAGAGCGCCCCCCGCTCTACCAGGCAGACGAGGCGGCCGCCATGCGGAGGTGAGGCCTGGGAGGCAGGGGAGGAGGCTGGCACGCTCTGTGGGGGGGTGAGGGCAGAGGGGGCTGGGGGTCCCCAGAAAAACACCTGCCAGCACACAGTGGATCCTGCCCCAGACTGTCCCATGGCTGGAGGGACAGAATTTTAGAGCTTGACATGTTCTTCCAGCTCAGGCCCCTTCGCACTACAGCAGAGAAAGGGAGTGGGGGAGGCTTAAGGCTCTCTGGGTTTGGCTGAGCTAAGCTGGGCCTTTGGAACAGGGAGAGGTCCTCAGGACCCAGAGCTGAGACAGCTCCTGAGGACAAGCCCATAGGACCTGGCCCGTGCTGGGCTTGAATTCCAGGATTCCCATTTGTGGCCGCCAGGGGGCCCCCGAGACGTGCACAGGGCACCCTCCAGGGCCCGTGGGAACCCTGCTGGCTTTGGGTTAGGACAGGGAGGTGTGGGATGTGAGCCCCGAGTTGTGAGCAGATGGATTCCTGGGGAGCAGGGACATGGTCTGCACCCTGGTGGGCTGAGCTTCCAGCCTGCGTGGCCTGCAGAGGCCCAGGCCCCTCTGGGACTTCCGGGCAGAGCACTCATCCTGAGTACGGGTCTCTTTCCTAACAGGCAGCTTCTGGCACATTTCCACTGCCTCTCATGTGACCGGCCCTTGGAGACAACTGTGACCGGACAGTGAGTGCCCACATCACCGGCATGTGGCCTCACACAGTGGGGCTGAGTCTCCTCCCTTCTCCACCTGTGTCCACCCTGTCCTCTCCCTTTCTCTCATGGGTGGCTTCCAGCCCTCGCTCCCTCCCAGGCAGGGGGCAGGTGGGAAGGTTCTTTAGGCAGGTGGATTTGGGGGATGGGACTTGTCCCACTCTGACCCACCCCTTTTTTCTCTGTCCCTACCCAGAGCCATCTCCGTGACCCCTGCAGGTCCGGGCCTACCCGGGCACTGTTCCATCCGCCCCTACACAGTATTTGAACTGGAGCAGATCCGGCAGCATAGCCGCAAGTACGGGACAGCAGGGTACAGGGCCAGGGCTCTGGACGGGGAAGGCAGGGGCAGAGATGGCTCCCGAGGACCTGGCAGAACGTGACAGAAGGCAGTGCTGTGGGACAGTGTGGAGAGCCTCCTCCTTGGGGTGGGACGGTGGTGGCCACAGGCTGATGATGTCTGAACTAGCTCCCTGGCAGTTCCCAGGGTGAGTGGAGGCAGACCTAGTGACACCTGCCTTTGGGAGCTACAGTGGGACTTTGTCAAGGGCACTATCTGCTTCTGAGAGCTCCTCTACTTCTCTTTCTCGACCTCTTCCCCAGCCTTCGGCTAACTCAGCAACCCTGCGATTACCGGGATTGCAGGGGGAGGGTCTGGCATCGCTCAGCCGGAGGGTGGGCTCAGCCAAGGAGGGAGGCTGGTGGGCGGCATCTCACGCTCCCTCCGGCTCCTGCCTGCCTCTTGCTGCTTTGCTGCTCCCCTTCTCCTAAGGATGGGAGTCCACAGTACAGAGGACTTCAGACTACTCTTGGAAGCCCTAAGGGTTCTGGTGTGCAGGGCCAGGTGCGCTGTGATGGGAAAGCCCCGGGCTGCCCGCAGCTTCAGAGGGAGCCGGGCTGTCTTCCATTTGGCTAGCCTGCACTTTCCCATCTGGGGAAAGCCTTCCCAGCAAGTCTGGCCCTCAGGTGCTGTGGAAAGGGCTGATCTGACTGAGGGGTCAAGCTGCTCAGCGACCCCAGCCGTCGACCAAGCACCCATGGAGCTAGCTGGGTCTTGCACAAAAGGGACCCAGAACAAAAGGATGCAGCTGACACAAGGTCAAGGCTCCCCCGTGGGCCAGCACTCCCTCTGTTCTGCTAACACCCTGCAGCCTCAGGCTGGGCACTGCCTTCCATCGGGGTGACCTGGAGCAGATGGAGCAGAGTGTGAGGCGCCTGCGCTCCATGCACTCCAAGATGCTGATGAACATCGAGAAGGTGCAGATCCACTTCGGAGGCTCCACGAAGGCCAGCAGCCAGGTCATCCGAGAGCTGCTGAAGGCCCAGTGCCTCAGCTCCCCGTGCTACAAACGGTACAGGAGGGGCGGGCGAGGCTACCGGGAGCTGGCCCTGCAGACAAATGCCTGGACCCATTGCTGGGGGAGGCCCTGAGGGAGAAAAAGGAGCGTGGGTGTATGTCTGTGTGTGAGTGTGTGAAGGTGTGGGCAAGAGGTGTCTGTGTGTGTAAGCCATGTGTCTATGGGTGGGTGCGTATGCATCAGTGTATGAGCCTGTGTAGGGGTGTGTATAAGTGCATGTGTCTGAGTACGTGAGTGTGGGTACAAGTACGGGTGTGTGAGTGGGTGGAGTGTGTGTGTGCATGTATGAGTACATGTGAGTGTATAAGTATGTGTGTGTACCTGTGTGTGCATGAGTACATGTGAGTGTATGTATGTGCATGCCTGTGTGTGTGTGCATGTACTGTGGTGTGCATATATGTATGTGTATAAGTATGTATGTGCATGTGTATATGAGTGTGAGTGTGCATGTGTGAGTGCGTGTATGTATGAGAACGTGTGTATGTATAAGAGTGCGTGTACCCCTGTCGTGGTGGCTCATGCCTGTAATCCTAGCACTTTGGGAAGCTGAGGAGGGCAGATTGCGTGAGCTCAGGAGTTCGAGACCAGCTTGGGCAACACAGTGAAACCTGGTCTCTACTAAAATACAAAAAATGAGCCACTTCTGGCAGCATGCGCCTGTAGTTGCAGCTACTCGGGAGGCTAAGACAGGAGAATTTCTTGAACCCGGGAGGGAGAGGTTGTAGTGAGCCGAGATCAAGACACTGCACTCCAGCCTGGTGACAGAACAAGACTCCGTCTCCCTGCCCCCCCCAAAAAAGTGTGTGTACATGTGTGTATAGGTATGTGTGTATATGTGTGAGTGTAAGGGTGTGTGCGTGCCCACCCGTGTGCATGGTCACTGGGGTGACCCAGCCTCACGGCTGCTCTACCCCAATTCCCCTGTCCTGGGCCCTGCCCGCCTGTCCTGGGCTCCCACTGCTCTGCGTCCTGGCTACCCCTGAAGCAGAGCTTCCCTCTGGCCAGCCCTATCATGGGCAAGTCCCAGGCCATGTCTCTGGCGGTCTGCTCCCAATGACTCCGTCCTGTCTTCATCACAGGGTGACAGATATGGCCAATTACACCTACTCGACTGTGCCCCGGCCCTGCGGGGGCAGCCACACCCTCACCTACCCCTACCACCGCCGCCTACAGCACCTGCCCCGGGGTCTGTATCCCACCGAAGAGATCCAGATTGCCATGAAGGTCAGGACCCTGCCTGAAGCCACCAGGGAGGGAGGCCCTGACACAGCTCCAGATTCCTGAGTCATTCTCCAAAGCCACAAGAAGCCATCTCAGCCAGCCCTCTGCCTTGAGGCAATTCCTTAATCAGACCTAGTTAAAGCCTCAGGTTCTTATTTTCCCGGAAGAAGGATTCATCCCAGCCACCTGCCCGCTCAGCAGCATTCTGCTTCCCAGGCCTCCCACCTCAGCCGGATACCATTTACCTCCCTCCACCTTCTCTCTCCACCCTGGTGCCTCCCAGAGCCCCCCAGGAGGGTTCCCAGACCACAGTGCTCTGTGCCTCAGGCCTGTGTGGAGGTGGGGACGGCGGGGTGGGGGGACGGTGCGTGCTACGATGGTGATGACATCTGTCTGCCTCTACAGCATGATGAGGTGGACATCTTGGGCCTAGATGGCCACATTTACAAGGGACGGATGGACACAAGGCTGCCAGGCATCTGCAGCAAAGACAGTGAGTGGAGCCCAGAGGCTACCAGGTGCCTCGCGTGGGTCCCACAGGGCGTGCGTCTGTTAAGGGGCTGGCACTTTTATGGGTCACTGGACCCTGGGTGTCTTCCTTCTCCACTCCCCTGACTCCAAATGTTCAGGTCTCTCGAGAAGCCACCAGGTGAATGTTCACAGGTGGAGGACAGCTGTCCAGCCTCGGCCATCAGCTGGGATGGAGTGGCCAGTGTTTTCCTGCCAGCCTCCACCCTAGCTGTACTGCTGGGCCTCTCTCCTTGGCATCATCAGGGCCTCCTTCTCCTTCAAAACTCAACAAAGAGCCAGGCTCGGTGGCTCATGCCTGTAATCCCAGCACTTTGGGGGACCGAGGCGGGCGGATCACAAGGTCAGGAGATCGAGACTATCTTAGTTAACATGATGAAACCTCATCTCTACTAAAAATACAAAAAATTAACTGGATGTGGTGGCACATGCCTGTAGTCTGAGCTACTCGGGAGGCTAAGACAGGAGAATCGCTTGAACCCACGAGGTGGAGGTTGCAGTGAGCAGAGATAGCACCACTGCACTCCAGTCTGGGCGACAGAGTGAGACTTCATCTCAAAACAAAACAAAACAAAAAATCCCCAAAAACTCAGCACAGTGCCCTCTGTTGAGCCCCCACTGCCTCAGCCCCCGAATGCCCACCTTCCGTAACGTGACGCAGTCCAACGTCTGCTGTGTGTCACTTCCCATCATTCATTTAGCTGTGTATACACCTTTCTAGATGCCTGCCCTCCTGCCCTGGAAACCCCAGGTCAGAACTCACCCCATACCTGCCACAGGGCTGACGTGTGCAGGTCCTCAGGGACTCTTGTGCACGTGGTTGGGTGGGTGGACATGAGAATGAATGAAGACTGCTTCTCTGGGGCAGATCCAAAATTCAGACAGACGAGGACCCCACTCAGCCAAGGCCAGCCGTGACCAGCAGCCCCACGGCCTCCTCTCCATCCCCAGGGGTTCTCACGGCTGCCTCAGCACTGACCCTTCCGTCCTGTCCTCATCAGGCTCAGGGATCTCAAAGCACAAGTCCAGGCAGCCCCGGCCAAATGTGCACAGGCAGCCATCCCTCAACTCCAGTGGCCAGCTCTCCTCTCGGCCTCAGAGCGCCCAGATGTCGGCTGACAACACCCCAGGTAGCTTCCCTCTGGGTGGGCGTCCTGCCAGGCCTCCCTGCTAGCCCTGCCGGCCCCCCTTCCTGCTCAGGCAGGGTCACACTTTTATCTCCCTGGAGAGGGGAGGGCCTGGGAGCCAAAGGAGGGGATGGGTGGGGAAAAGAGAGACCCGTAGAGACAGTGATTCGTGCCCCTTCTGGGAGGTGGGTAGGTGCTGGTACTGCCCCATTCCACAGAAGATGAAATAGGGACAGGGTTGCCACCCAATCTCTGGCACCAGGCCCACGCCCTTGCCCTGCTCACGTGTGCTGTCATGGAGCTCATGAGCCTGGGCTCTGCATGGCGGCTGCTGGGCACGGGCCATGCCTGGGTGCCTGAGAGCCCCCAGACCCTGATATGGAGGAACCTCTGCCTGGCCTGGCCTGGAAGGTCCCTTGGGTCCCTCACCTCCCCTTGAGCTAAGTTGGGCCTGAAGGTCAGGGAGCTAAGGACCCCTAGGGTTCAGCCACAAAGGCCCTGCAGCCAGGAGGCTGGATCACTGCCAGGTGACCCTGAGCAAGTCTCTTCCCTCTCCAGACCTCAGTGTCCTCATCTGTCATCCAGGGAGTGCTGGGTTAGTGCTTCTTGGCGTTAGGCGCCCCCCCCGCCCCGAGATAATCTAATAAAAGCTGCAGACCTCCCTGCTGTAAAACAGAAATGTACCCACATACCTTGTTGGGTGCCCGTGGGAGGTCCAGAGACCCCCAGAGCCTCCACCATCCCCTGCTCCTAGGCTAGATGCTCCAACATCACTCCAGCCCTCACTGAGAGCCTGTGGCTGAGGAAGGAGGAAATCACAACAGAGCAGTGGCTGTGGTGGTGATGGCTCCTCGCCGTCATCCAGGGCCCCCGCGGGCCAGGGAGTTAGTGTAGGAGCATTACACGGATGAGCCAGTTTTAAGCCATGCAGCAGCACTGAGGTAGGGACCATTGTTAGCACCATTTACGGCTGAGAAAACTGAGGCACAGAGAGGTGAAGCCTCTGTGTGAAGACCCTGAAGCTCCTTGCTCTGGGTCACACAGCCAGCATGCAGCAGAGCTGGAGTTCAAAGCCAAGCCCTCTGGCCCAGAGGCCGCGCTGGGAGCCACAGGTCTCAGTGGAGGAGAGCACAGGACTGTCACCCCGGCTCCCAGAACTGTTTTCTTGGGGGTACTTAGTTCCCTTCTCCCAGACGCTGCACTGTCTACTCTGAGGGCGCTGAAATGCTCTGGAAGCAGGAGAGGGACTGGTAGTCATGAAAAATTCCTGTACCTATTGGCCTGATATCACCTAGTGTCTGTATTAACAGGAAACCTGTTTGCTGCTTTTTCTCTTTTTTTGAGATATGTTTGCTTTTTCTTTTTTTTTTTTCTTTCTTTTTTTTTTTTTTGAGACGTCGTCTTGCTCTATCACCCAGGCTGGAGTGCAGTGGTGCGATCTCGACTCACTGCAACCTCCACCTCCTGGGTTCAAGCAATTCTTCTGCCTCAGCCTCCAGAGTAGCTGGGACTACAGGCACATGCCACCATCACACCAGGCTAATTTTTGTATTTTTAGTAGAGATGGGGTTTTCACCATATTGGCCAGGCTGGTCTTGAACTCCTAACCTCATGATCTGCCTGCCTCAGCCTCCCAAAGTGCTGGGATTACATGCCTGGACCACCGCGCCCAGCCACTTACTTTTCATTCACAAAGATCATGAAGGGTACTTCATGACTGCTTAGGAGCTCAGAAGAGCCTGTGCCGTGCACCCCAGCCCTGGCAGCTCCTCTCCAGCCTGTTTCAGCCCAGCCGGCAGACAGAACTGCTCCTAACTTCCCTGGGCTTTAGGCAGGCTGGGGTGGCCCAGTGGGTGTGGGGAATGTGGCGAGCAACCTCAGCCCCCCTGTCTTGCAGGTTTTTTGCGTCAACAGAAAGGCAGACCTTCCTCTGACGGGCATCTCCCCCTGCTGAACACAGCGCACCCACTCAGCCCTGCCAAGGTGGCAAACGGGGAGTCAGAGAGGTTCGTGGACATGCTTCCTGGGGAGGGGCTTGAGGAGCCCACCCAGGGGCCTCGGTCCTCCAATGCTCAGTGAGCAGAGGTGTAAATAAACGTTCAGGAGGAAGCTTTGGTGTGGTGAATCTTCTCTGACAGGAAGACAGAGGGAGAGGGAAGTGCCCACTGCTGGCCAGGCAGCCCCTCACGTGCCTCCAGACAACCCCAGGCCTGCCTGCTCGGCAGACCTTCTCTTGGACAGCAGGTCTGGTTTGTAGCCTGAGAGTGAGTCCTCAGCCTCTGTTCTCCGAGGGTGCTGGGGCTTCAGGAGGGCTGGACATTGCGCTGGGGACAGGGAAACTCCGGGCCCTGGGACCAGCTGGGCCTGCTCTCACCCCACCAGCTCTCTCCTGACCTCGGCTAGACCCAGGGTGCTGTGCCTTCTGGCTCCAGACCTGACTTCTCCACTGGGGGCGGGGGCTGTGCAGTCAGTGTCCAGCACACTGCGGGTGAGGGTGGTAGCTGCCTGCTTGCTCTTGCTGCTGGCTCAAGGTGGTTCCTGACCCCTGGCATGGGATTCCAGGGAAGTAGTGCCAATGGCCGGAGGCGAACCCCTGCAGCACGCTGGGCCAGTTTCTGTTTGCTGCCCTCCACTGCTGTCCCTTGAGTGGGCTGCAGCAAAGACAGCCAGGGCCTGAAGGCTCAGACCAGGAGCTGCCATGGCTGTGGCCGTTTCCCCATCCCCCTCCTCCCCAGGAAGATACAGAGCAAAAAATATCAGGGGGGTGGAGAGTGGCGTGAGCCCCCTGCTTGGCACGATTTGCTTCCCTCCGCTCTAGCCCCCGACACCTGCAGGCAAGGGACCCCCATCACTTGGCAGGTGAGGGGACAGAGGCATGCAAGTGGTATTAAGCTCAGGCCAGTGCAGCAACTGCTAGCGATGAGCCTCCTCCATGGCCACAACCCACCTGAAGCTCCAGGGACCCAGGGGTCTCTTGACCTCCTGAGCTTGGGCTTCAGCCAGATTCTAGGGGTCCCCCATTAGATGAAAGTGGTCCCCCACCCTGATGTTTATAAAGCCCTGAAATCACCAAGGCCTGCCTGCCCCAGAGGCTGCCCCCCACAGAGAAAAGGAAGTGCTTGGAGTTGAGAATGGGGCTTCCCCCACCCCCAGTTCCCAACGCCCCAGCATGGAGAAGGGATTTCTGGAGCAAGCGGCTCGATTTGGGGTGTGAGAAGACAGAATCACACAGGAAAGGAAAGTGTGGCGAGAAAGAGCCCAGAAACAGGTTTCTGGCCCCTGACCCTGGTGTAGGTAAAGCGGGGCAAGCTTGGCTGGGTGGGTGGGTGCTCCCTCGGCTTGCTCTGTGGAGACCCAGCCAATCTTCATGTCATGAGGTCGTGCTTAGGGCTGCACAGAAGAAAGGAGCTGCTCAGACAGCGGAATCCCGAGCGAGCACCCCCTGCCCCAGCCCCTGTCCCCCCAGGCAGGAGGCAGAGCAGGGCCACCCTCCCCCACTCCGGCTGGGCACCTGCTGCTCTCAGCCCCACCTTGGCTGTGAAATGTCAGAAGGTCGGCTCAGTTTCCTGGGTCTAAAGCCAAATTCACCAGCTTGGCAGGGAGGCACAGCCTAGTCCTCCTCACCACCCAGGCCTTCCCCACACCCACAGAAGGGCCCAGAGCGACATTCCCTAAGCCAGCCAGGCCAACCCCCACCATTCCCGCACCTGGGCAAGACCCGCACCTGAGCAAGGCCCACACCTGGGTGGACCCCATCCCAGACCCAGGCAGCCTGGGGATGTCACAGCGTAACCACCCACCTGCCGAGAGGGGCTGCCCCTTCCAGCCTGGGAAAGCACAGGTGGGCAGGGGAAGGGGAGGAGTCTCAGGGGTTTCCAACCAGGAAACAAAACTGAAAGGACAAACCCAGCTTCCAAGCACGGCATGTCTGTGTCCCACGCTGAGGTGGAGGGGCCTCAGGGCCCACCGTTCCACTCCACTGGAGGAGGGGCTGCCCCACCGTGGGAGGGGCCCCAGGAGTCCTGGAGGCAGGATGCGGGGGTGGGGAGAGGGTGTGCTGGGCCCAGTCCCTCTCGATTTTCACTTCACTTCTGGCCTGAACCTCGAGAACCCCTGTCCTGCCTGTGTTCCAGCAGGGCCTGGGCCCCTTAGACCGCAGCAGAGGGCGAGGCCGGAGGACAGGACGAGAAGGGGCTGCCAGGACTGAGTGTGGCGGTGAAGGTCAGGGCAGGAGGGGGCATCCCAGCCATGTGGCTGTCACCCCCATCAACCAGGTGGACAGGCTCCCCACGCAGCTGACCTCCAGCACCACAGGACCACCCAGGCTGGGCTGCTGGGTCAGAACCGGCAGCCTCACACATGCTGACCCTGCAGGGCTATGGGGAGGCAGGTGGAAGCAGGCCCCTCTGGGGACCTACCCTGTCTATGGCTCCCTGACAGCCTTAATTGACCTTTGGGTCATGGCTATTCCACAGCCCACAGGGACACACAACCCTGGGAATCGAGGGTAGGACTATCAGAGATGAGCCCAGCTAGCAGATGCCTGCTAGGAGGGCCTGGGAGGGGGGGCATCAGGACACCCCCAGCTAGAAGGGGCAGCTCTCCCCAGAGCAGATGGAAATGTCTTCCAGTGCTCCTCACTAGGGCTCTGCAGGTAGGAGCTAACACCGATGGGGCCAGAAGGGAAGGTCACAGAAACTCAGGATGGACTCCGGCCCCTCCTCCCCTCCACACCAAGCTGGACCCTGCCTGCACTGCCAGAGCCCCTGCTGTGACCACACAGCAAGAAACACCCAGACCAGCCCAATGGCAAGTGACCCCCACCACCCCTCTTCCAAGGAGACCGATCCACCCACCAATGGAAGTAAAAGCACCACAAACCAAGGAAGTTAGAAAAGTCTCTTTTTAAGTTTTTAAATTAAAATTTCACCCTGGTGAGATGGGATTCCAATTTGGGAACTAAACCCAAAGGCAGGCCCTCCACTGGGACCTGAGACTCACAGTGGGCGGCGCAATGCCTGGGGCAGCTGAGGCCCCTACCGGGCAGAGCCTGACCTTTGCCCTCAGTCAGCTCCTCAGTGCCACATCAGCCCTGCACATTCATCAGGGGACGGGGTGACAGGAGCTATGGGGCCACGACAAGCAATTGGAGGTGGGGAAGAGGTGGGGGGGGCTGGGGAGGAGACCCGATGCCAAGAGGGCCTTCCACACCTTTGGCCTCAGGCCCTCCTGGGACTCTGCCTGTAGCGGCAGCGGGGTCCTCTTCCAGGTTCCAGAAGGCACGACTGTGGGAGGAGGCAGCTGACAGTTGCCTTGTGCCCCAACATCGTTCCACTGGCTCTGCAGCACGCTCCTACCCTCAAGACTCGGGTGGAGGAGGCAGCCACAGCCCTGAGCACCCCAGCTGTGCCAGGCCCATTCTCACAGACATTAGTTATATTTATATATTCATATATATTATAGTTATATATTAAAAAGAGAGAAAAACTTGCCTGAAAAACTCCTGAAGGACCCAAATGGCCCAGGAAGTTTACTATCCCCCCCACCCACAAAAATTCTTTTATAAAATCTTCCAGTGCGATCTTCGGGAAACCCCCGCCCTCCCCGGCTCCCCCTCCCCAGCCCTCCTGTGTCCCCCACAACCCTGGGCTGCCCCCAGCTCCAGCCCAGCGCCCAGCAGCGTCCAGTCTCATCTCTGACCATCCATGGCAGCCATGGCTTTTTGCTGGGCGCCCCCCTGCTGTGCTCCTGGGGGCCACGTGGGCTGTGGGCAGTGGAGGTGGTGGAAGGTGGTGGGGGAGGAGGGCGGGATCCAGGGCGCCTGGTGGCTGGGCGGGGATGAGGCCCAGAAGGGACTGAAGCTTGCAGGCGGAGAGCAGGCCACCGCTGACATGGGGCTGTTGCTCTGCAGGCCCTCGGAGGCACGGAGCTTGGAGAACATGGCCAGTGCGTCGGGGAAGTTGGGCGGTGTGGCAGGGGTGTTGCTGGGAGTGCACATCTGCGGGAGAGAACACAAGTGTGGGGAGACTGCCTCAGGGCCCCCAAGCCACTGAATGGGGCTCACCCAGGTCAGCCCCTCCTTTACTCCCACTTTTCAGCTTCATTTAAGCAGCTTCCATAGGACAAAAGCGCCCTCTCCCCCTGAGCCAGTACAAACAAAACCCAAGAACCTTACCAAAACCAACGAGGCTTCATAAGGCCTGGAAAGGACACCCCAAGGAGGAAATGGTTAATTTCGCCCAGGAGCTAAGGTGTCAGATTCAAGTGAGAGGGCAAGGGGGCAGCCCAGGACACCACTGTGCCTGCCTTCCCTGGGCAAGGAGACCAGGTGGCTGCTCCACCAGCCACCCTCAGATGTTCTCAGGCTGCTGGGCAAGGGAGAGCGGCCAGCGGGGAGGTTCTCCCTCCTCTGCCAACCCGGTGTGTGGATGGGTTCATACCACACTAAGGGTGACAGCCACCAGGTCTTGGAGCCTTTCCCCTTATCTTTTAACAATGACACTTAGTGGCTTCAATTATCCCCTTTGTGACAAATGAGGAAACTGAGGCCCAGAAGTCAAGTTTTGGGGCCTAGTGGTGAAGGCCCGAAAATGCACCCACAGCAGAGTGCAAGTTGAGAAGAGGAACTCCCCAGCTCCCGGGTCTGCTGGCCCAAGCTCTCCACATCCACCAGCCACACTGCCCAGACAGGGTCAAGAGCCCCATTATATCTGGTCTCCCTGAGGACAGAAACCAGGGATTTCAATTGCCTGTGTCTGTAGCCTCAGGCCACACACAGCTGGCCCGCCGTTGGCTGGAGACTGGCAGTTTCTCAGTGTGTACAGCCCCTCAGCCCTCTTCCTGGGTAGCTACAGTCCCCCATCTACTGTCTTCTGCCAGCAGCCTGGGGGCAGGGATTGGAGTGCCATCCAGGAGTACCTCGCCAGCAGCATGGGCGAGAGATAGCAGAGAGAACAAGACCACACAAAGCTGGCGGGGACCTCAAAGCCACTTTCTCCCTTTCCCAGGAAGCCATGGGAGTCCTTTGAATGTCTCCTAATTTTAGCAACACTGGCCCCTCCTCCAGGCACAGGAGTTGGGGGTGCTCTTTACCTTGAAAAAGGGATCTTCAGCCGGGCGCAGTGACTCACACCTGTAATCCC